TAATGAAGACCTGTTCAAAGAAAATAAGAAAATACTTGATTTTATGTTATCAATTGGTTATATACAACATGTAAAAACATTTACTACTGAGAAGGCTACATGCTTAGATAATGTGTATAGCAAAGGATTCCATGACTTACCAATAGAGGTATATGTCAGTCCTATCTACTATGGATATCATGAAATCATAAATATAATCATACGAAAATTTAAGACAAGTATATAATAAAATATATACACGAACACAATATTAATGCTGAACATACCAAGAATATTCAATATAGTTTTAACATGTAAACATGAGTTGTTCTCGCCATTGTCTTCTCTTTGTTTATATAAAGATGAGTTGTTATCATCATCTACATCTTCTATATATTAATAATGAATAGATGAATTGTCGTCTTCATCTTCCAAGTATATATCCAAGTTATAATGTAAATATGACCTAGTCTTCCCCATTGTCTTCTCTACGATTCTTTGCACATGCGTTGTTGTCATAATCTCTACATCTTGTATATAATCATACTGAATACAGTAGATGAATTGGTGTATTTATCTTCCTAGAATATGATTATTATGTAATAATGAGCTGATTTGCTCCTAGTTCTTTCAATAAGATTCTTTGCATATGCATTGTTCTCAGCTTCAAACTCTATATATGAAGCCCGAATAGATGCTGCTTAATCTTCCAACTATATACTTGTAACAAAATATGACCTGGCGTGACCAATGGTTCTCGAAATATTTTTATGTGCACATGGATTGTCATCATCAATATCTTCTCTATATGAACACTGAATAGATGACTTGTTGCCTTAATCCTTCAAGTACATAGTTATGATGTAAATATGAATTTATATCATCGCCATTGTGTTCACTATAGAGCTGCATATATAAGCTGTTGTATACAACTTCTATATATTAATACTGAATAGATCACTTGCTGCCTTAATAATTTAAGTATATAATCATCATGCACCTATGAATTGATGTCCTCACCATTATATTCTCTATGGTGATGTACATAGTATATGTTGTTATTATCCGCATCTTTGTATTGCTGCCTTTATCATTCAAGTATATAGTTATGGTGTAACTATGCATTGATATCCTCGCTATTGTGTTCTCTATAGTGCTGTACATATGAGTTATTGTCATCATCCACATATTCTATATATAAATACTGGATAGATGAATTGCTGCCTTCATCTTGTCCTCTATGGTACTGTGCATATGAGTTCTTGTTATCATCCACATCTTCTATATATAAATACTGGATAGATGAATTGATGCCTTCATCTTGTCCTCTGTGGTACTGTGTATATGAGTTCTTGTCATCATCCACATCTTCTATATATAAATACTGGATAGATGAATTGATGCCTTCATCTTGTCCTCTGTGGTACTGTGTATATGAGTTCTTGTCATCATCCACATCTTCTATTTATAAATACTGGATAGATGAATTGATGCCTTCATCTTGTCCTCTATGGTGCTGTGTATATGAGTTCTTGTCATCATCCACATCTTCTATTTATAAATACTGGATAGATGAATTGATGCCTTCATCTTGTCCTCTATGGTGCTGTGTATATGAGTTCTTGTCATCATCCACATCTTCTATTTATAAATACTGGATAGATGAATTGCTGCCTTCATCTTGTCCTCTGTGGTACTTTGCATATGAGTTCTTGTCATCATCCACATCTTCTATATATAAATACTGGATAGATGAATTGATGCCTTGATCTTGTCTTCTATGGTGCTGTGTATATGAGTTCTTGTCATCATCCAATTACTTCATCAACTTTGTAATTATGCATAAATTAAGCTTAGATTACTTTAGATTGGAGACAAATGAACACTTCTATGTAATCGGTCTGAGACTTCACAGCCATTTGCTAGTTTTGATTTTTTGTTGACCCAATTACTTCATCAACTTTGTAATTATGCATAAATTAAGCTTAGATTATTTTAGATTGGGGACAAATGAACACTTCTATGTAATCGGTCTGACACTTAACAGCCATTTGCTAGTTTTGATTTTTTGTTGACCCAATTACTTCATCAACATTGTATTCGACATTCCATAGTTTTCTCACTGAGTCTCACCATACATACGCCATCGAGTCCCTTCATGTCCCTTGTGACTTTGTTAAACCTGCCCCACCTGCCCCATCAAGTTGCAGTATCATGCCTTATTATTTTCGATTGGAAACAAATGAACACTCAATTCTATCCAATTGGTCTGATACTCAACAGCTTTAGAAATCAAAATAAGATAGGTAGGCCTAATTTTTATCCGTGAAAACGCGGAATATTTTTTACAAGACTTAGAAAAAATTGGCCCCCCCTTGTTGGTTTCCGGATCCGCCCCTGGAGATGGTATGTCCACATTTTGAGTAAAAATTAAAAATGGTTGCTCCTTGTACGTACAAAAATGTAAAATTAAAGATTTGACCTTGGCTCATTAAGGTGGAGCCAATTAAAAAATGAAGGCATTTCCCTGTAGCCCAGGTACATGTCAAGGTTGATGGTACATGCTAATAAGCTGACACATTGCTGTGATATTTGATATCAGGGGCTTTTATTCTTTATTCAAAGGTCAAGGTCAAAATGTTGACCTAATTTACTATAGTTAAGTACAGTGTAATACAATGGTACCAATTTCGAATCAATTTGAGCAATTTTAGCAATTTAAACTTTTTGACCTTTTCAAGGTCACCCGGAGGTCAAATTCCAAAACCACAAGCATATTTAGAATCAGGGACATCCATACTTCATACTTGCAAAGAATTGGAATGAAAATCACCCAAATTATAAACCCTAGAGATATGTTAAATGGGAAGAGTAAGGCATGCAAAAAATAACTACAGTGGCTCCTTGAACAGGTAAAACAAGAAATAAGTTTTACGTCATTTTACGGTGAAGGTCAAAGGTCAAGGTCAAAATGTTGACCTAATTTACTCTAGTTTAGTACAGTGTAATACAATGGTACCAATTTCGAATCAATTTGAGCAATTTTAGCAATTTAACCTTTTTGACCTTTTCAAGGTCAACCGGAGGTCAAATTCCAAAACCACAAGCATATTTAGAATCAGGGACATCCATACTTCATACTTGCAAAGAATTGGAATGAAAATCCTAGTTTTCAACTTTGAGGTCATTTGAAGGTCAATGTCAAAGGTCAAGGTCAAAATGGTGACCTAATTTACTCTATCCGAGTACAGTGTAATACAATGGTACCAATTTGGAATAAATTTGAGCGATTTTGATTTTTGAACTTGTTGACCTTTTCAAGGTCACTCAGAGGTCGGATTCCAAAACCGAAAGCATATTTGGAATCAGGGGCTTCTATTCTTTATATCTGCTTAGAATTGGGATCGGATACACAGTTTTCAAATTTTGCCCCACTGGGGTGCCCCATTTTTCAAATTTGGGGCACCCAATTTTAAAACCCGGAATATATGTGAAATGGCAATTGTGAGGGATGGCATATGCAAATTTTGGGTAAAAAATAAAAATGGTTACTCCTTGTACGTGCAAAAATGCGATTTGACCTTGGCTAATTAGGGAGGGGCTAATTAAAAAAATGAAGGCATTTCCCTGTAGCCCAGGAACATGTCAAGGTTGATGGTATATGCTAATTAGCTGACATGTAGGTGTGTGCGGAGAAATCTTGCGTGGAATAATAATAAGAAAAAGGCGAAAATCCTAGTTTTCAACTTTGAGGTCATTTGAAGGTCAATGTCAAAGGTCAAGGTCAAAATGGTGACCTAATTTACTCTATCCGAGTACAGTGTAATACAATGGTACCAATTTGGAATAAATTTGAGCGATTTTGATTTTTGAACTTGTTGACCTTTTCAAGGTCACTCAGAGGTCGGATTCCAAAACCGAAAGCATATTTGGAATCAGGGGCTTCTATTCTTTATATCTGCTTAGAATTGGGATCGGATACACAGTTTTCAAATTTTGCCCCACTGGGGTGCCCCATTTTTCAAATTTGGGGCACCCAATTTTAAAACCCGGAATATATGTGAAATGGCAATTGTGAGGGATGGCATATGCAAATTTTGGGTAAAAAATAAAAATGGTTACTCCTTGTTCGTGCAAAAATGCGATTTGACCTTGGCTAATTAGGGAGGGGCTAATTAAAAAAATGAAGGCATTTCCCTGTAGCCCAGGAACATGTCAAGGTTGATGGTATATGCTAATTAGCTGACATGTAGGTGTGTGCGGAGAAATCTTGCGTGGAATAATAATAAGAAAAAGGCAAAAATCCTAGTTTTCAACTTTGAGGTCATTTGAAGGTCAATGTCAAAGGTCAAGGTCAAAATGGTGACCTAATTTACTCTATCCGAGTACAGTGTAATACAATGGTACCAATTTGGAATAAATTTGAGCGATTTTGATTTTTGAACTTGTTGACCTTTTCAAGGTCACTCAGAGGTCGGATTCCAAAACCGAAAGCATATTTGGAATCAGGGGCTTCTATTCTTTATATCTGCTTAGAATTGGGATCGGATACACAGTTTTTTAAATTTTGCCCCACTGGGGTGCCCCATTTTTCAAATTTGGGGCACCCAATTTTAAAACCCGGAATATATGTGAAATGGCAATTGTGAGGGATGGCATATGCAAATTTTGGGTAAAAAATAAAAATGGTTACTCCTTGTACGTGCAAAAATGCGATTTGACCTTGGCTAATTAGGGAGGGGCTAATTAAAAAAATGAAGGCATTTCCCTGTAGCCCAGGAACATGTCAAGGTTGATGGTATATGCTAATTAGCTGACATGTCGGTGTGTGCGGAGAAATCTTGCGTGGAATAATAATAAGAAAAAGGCGAAAACTATAGAATGCCGTTTCTTCGAAACCGGCATTCTAATAAAGAATAATATCTACAAAATTGATAGGAGGCCCCCCGATGGGGCCTCCTAATAAATATATCTTGTTGGAACAACAAATTTCTTAATCCATATTGTTTATGTTATTTCAGGAAAGGGTTTAAGATTGTTATCCTTGATGAGGCTGACATGATGACCAGAGATGCACAGAATGCTTTGAGGAGAGGTATGGGATCAATTCTCAAGTTGGCCTAAAATAATCATTTACATTATAAATTCTAAAATTATAAAATTATTTTTTAATTTTTGGTTGGTCCAATCCAATTTATGGAATTTCAAGTTGGTGCATCTGTTCAATGCTCGAGAGATTACTGCTAAGGCGGCAAACAGTTTTACAATAATATAAAATATGAATACACATAACAAATATCACATGCAAAGCAACAAAGGTCTTCCATCCCTGAGAACTGTTAAATATATTTGGTTTAAATATATTTAGTAAGAGATTCCAATTACAATTTGACTCTTGAGATGAATTGTATTAAATTCAACATCAGATGACCAATGAAGTCTTGTTTGGTTTCAGTAATTGAAAAATATACAGAGAATACAAGGTTCTGTTTGATTTGCAACTACCTCTCTAAGATCATCCCAGCCTTGCAGTCGAGGTGTACAAGGTTCAGATTTGGCCCTCTCTCCCCAGAACAGATGATGCCCAGAGTACAGCATGTTATAGACCAGGAAAAGTAAGGAATCAAAAGATCTAGTATTTCTATTCATTTGAATGTATAAGTATATTGGGTCATATGGACCATGGAATCACTAGTTTGTCTGTCAGTGATTCCTTCTGTTTGTCCATCAATAATGTTTGGAGAAAGTTAAACTGCCTTAAATCTAAACCAATGAATGGTCATATCCAATTTATAAATCTCCATTCTAGTTATCTTCACCATTGGTCCAAGCTTGTTCTTTTGCCTCATGTTGGAGAAATCAGATTTTTAAGATGTGGATAGGAGTATATACTAATTATGTTTTGGTTAAGACATTAAAGTCAGTGCAAACATTTATCCATACAACAATACATGTAGAACACTTTGTGCTATTGTTTTTATTTGAATACAGAATGAATCTTATATTTAGTATATATAGTATTATATAGTTTATAGTACTGTAAAGTGCATATCTATTTAACTCATCCTTTTGGGGGGATTTAGGAAGAATTTTTATTGACAGAGGAAGATATTGTTATCCCTTTGGATAAATTTCCTATGTAGCATCAACTACCTGTACACAAACAGAACAGTTTTAAGGCTATTAACAGCAAGAAGCAGTTTCTACTGACAAAATGCGACTCAAATCATTATTTTTAAGCAAGCAACATTAAATCTTCTCAAAATTTTAACTCTTAAATTCAAATTTTAGAGTGACTGTGACAGAGGATGGGATGAAAGCACTGGTGACACTTGCAAGTGGAGACATGAGGAAATCACTAAATATATTACAGGTATCTACAGTATTTAACTCAACTCCACAGCGTTTGATCTTGGGTACTTGAGCTATTGTCAGGGTTCAGTTATATTCATCATAAATGTCCAAATACATGAGCATTATAAGCCAGCCATGAGGCAACTAGGCCATAATGTTAGAGATGTGAGATGTTACAGCCTTCTAGAGGTCTATAGATATCTACTTATATATAAGGGCTTCTAGCAATTATTTGAGCAGCCCTTTTTTATTTAGTTTGAGCTTGGTTGGGTTTCGATTTTTTCCCATTTTTTTCACAGATTACCAAAGAATTCAAGTCAGTGTTTTGATCATAACAGACAGTTTAAAATCAAAATAATCTGTCAAAAATTCAACAAAGCAGCTTTTTGTTTTTGATTTTAGAGTTTTGTTTAATATTCTGATCCTCCGATCTTTTCTTTGTAAGACTGGTTAATCAATCTTTCCACTGTCAGTAGCTCCATCCACTTTGTTATCACTTTCCAATATATGGGGGCTTATTCTTCTTACAGTTCCACCTGTATTTTCTTCAGAACTGTTATCTGCAATCTGTAATCATATTTTTTATTTCTATTTTTTCATATCAATGACACAATAGACTAGATGCGAGTGGAAATAATCTCGAATTACGTCATTAAGTATTCAAAATCCAGTCTAGAAATACATTTAGAAATATGTTTTCGAAAATTGTTCATCAACTTTGAAAATGTTTTTTGAAAATGTGACTTCTAGATGGGGAAATTCCCCATAGACCCCCATGTTACAAAATCACAAAAAGTGAAATATCTTTTCTTGTATTAATGCATCCTTCAAAAGTTTGCGTGAGACCCCCCAACGGGAGGGTAAGGAATTTGATACACAATATTGCCCCTAGGGGTAGGAATTTGACGAAGATTGTCGTCCCGGGGTGGGGAATCTGATTAACATTGTGCCCGGGAATGGGGATTTTTGACTGAATCTGTTTCGTCCGGTATACACTTTAGGATTCTCGGAATTTGCAAATGATCGCTATATTCAGTGAACTAATGATCACTCATATCGGGAACAGAAGAAATAACTCATCTACATCATCATAACTGCTGGAAAGAGGAATTCTAGAATACTGAGCAGTGTTTTAATTATTGTTTGTCAAGTTTTTTTTCGCCCTCCCTTCAGAAAAATGCACTTCCGCGTTCTACCTATATTTATAACCTCGTCATAATTTAATTGATTTAATATAGATGATTAATTTGATTTAAAATTAATTTTTGAAAAATTTTACGTTCGAACAAATTTTATTTAATTGATTTGATAAGGATGAATAAAATGGAGGGAGGTAACCTATTAAAGTAAAAAGCCAATATCTTAAAGTACGTCATTGCATAAATTACAAGAGACCTTTCGAAAATTTACTACGATGTGGATTTGTTCCCAAATTGTACCCATCAAACACAACAATCCACCCGCTTATTCCACAAAAAATGATCGTTCATACAGGTATGTTCTCCTTTTGTTGAACAGATACAAACCAAGAGTAAAACCATGTCCCTCTCGGCTCATTTTTGTCAAAACTTTCAGGCAATTTGCGAAAATGTCTAACATGGACTGTATTCTCATTGGCTTTTAATTTAGCGGGTAATTGCGTCATTTAAAAAGCTGCTTTTCCATTGGTTATATGTAAATCATAAGCGAACTTTTTATTCATAAATTAATTGTAGCATGTGTTGTGCACTTTCCGCGAAGAATCTTATGACAATTGGTATCTCTAATTAGAATATTGATGTTAATGCAAATGTATCCCTCAACATTCACGAGCATTAGTCTCCTAACAAGGAAATCTGATGTTTAAAAATAGGTTTCAAATGGTGGGTGGACCCGGGGGGTCACAAATATTTGACCAGATTTATTGCTCCAAGTGTAGGGAAATTGACACATTTGTTTGGCTTCAGGGTAAGGAATAAGACACGCCATTTTTTTGTCAAATTTCCCACTCATGCCCGTGTGGGGGGTCTCACGCAAACTTTTGAATGGTGCATAAACAGATAACATTTTCACAACTATTAGATACATAAGGGTTATAGGAACCACTAAAACAGATGTAATTTAAGTTAAAGGGAACTTTCTACCATACCCGCCATGCTATCTGACCCGAATGAGCCACCAGTGGTGAAACTGGTAACTACTGTACCTACTCGCATCTGTGTTATTGCCTAATAAATAATTAGCAATTGCACACAGAAATTTGCTATAATTTAGAGATCTGTCCAAATTAAGATATTGTTTTATATGTCTCTGATTTTACTTAAAAGATATTAAACCAAAATTAGCCCAGTGGATTGAAATATTCATGTATTTCAGTTTCAATTTTGTCTTCATTTAAATGCTTATATGAACTCATTTTATCAGTCACCCTCTTTGTATGTCTTATGTCACTATAACTAGAACAAATAAAGTTTTCCTCACCCTCTTAAGAACCCGCCCCTGAATAGGATGATAAGCATATAAATAACTTTGAATGACCTCGTGTAGAACTGTTAAATTAAATATAGCCAGGGTTACAATACCCTCATATAATCTGAAGTGTTTGTTTGTTTTCTCAAAATCAGTTTATCTAAACTTTTATGTCATTTTCAGATAAGGGTACTTTTTATAACTCTGATAAATACAAATATCAGTACCAGAATGTAGTTAAACTGCACTTTACCTTTTTATTCTTTTGAAGTTGCCTTGCCTTGCTGTAAATTTGGGGCACTTAATGGCTCCATTTCAGTTTTGGTATTGTCTGTCTGGCGCGCTTCTTCAGATTGTCTCCCATTTGCACATAATGTTCTGATATTTCCTATAGTGTCTGGATATTTACACATATAAAATAGGAAGGCAAGGAGCAGTAATATGATAACAATTGTCAGAAATACTATTACCCCAACTAGTATGCCAACTGATCTTTCATGTGGTTGGGTTTCTGGTGTTACATTATTGGGAGTTTCTGGTGTTACGTTGCGATGAGTTTGAGGTGTAGTTGTTGGAACAGTTATTTCATGCTTGTAATGTCTTTGAAGTGCGTACACATCAACATCAGTGCTATTTACATAATTCAAGTCATATGTGCCAGGTTGAATTTGGCTGCAATTTCTGAGTTCACATTTCCTATCCTGTTTTGAAGAACTTCTGTAATTAATGACGTTAAAACCCAGTTCACAACCGTAAAGCATACACTGCCTCAAATCTCTTGCCTGTTGTATGGTTTTAGAATGACCACAGTTCGATGCCTGATTTTGTTCTTTGAGACTTATTATTTTAAATATGTAGGACGAGCGACAGTTAGGGTTGCCTGGGTGTGGTATATTCAACCATTTTGTTGATGGATCCAGATCAGAAGTATACTTCTGTGGTGAAAACTCCCAATTTGTTCCTTCCTTATTGCTTGGGCACCTAGAGCCAATTATGTGTTTTAAATACTTGGTCTGATCTTGGAAAGTGTTTGCCCCGAAAGTACAAAACATTTCAAGATTTTTATCGACTGCCTTGGTGCTTTTAAATGAGAAGGTTGACTGACAGCTTGGCTGCACAAAGGGAAGTTGCACAGAGTCATTCCATGATAAAGTGTTGCATGGTTTTGAAACATGGGATAGCCTATAAGTGCTCACATTTCCTTTGCCCTCGATCAAGGGTTTTAAGTCATAGTCATTTAGATTTCTATTCCACCCACAGTGCAATGTTTCACATGGGATGTCTCCATCACTGTTGAAATTGAAGGTGTTTGCTTTATCATCACATGCTTTCATCATACATTTATCAAGGCGTTTAACATCTCTATATCTAGTCAGTAGATAACATCCAGACTTCATACTGCTTCCATTGTCCAACATTTTCCTTACAAAGTATGAATTGTAACATCTTTTGCTGTAGTCATGCGGCAGGGCATAAGTCACGGCTGTGTTATTTCTGTCAGACTTATCTTCCTTTATCCAGTTATACTCCCAGTCTGTTTCATGATGGTTGGATTTACATGTGAAGATCCTGCACTCGTATTCCTCTTCGTAGTGTATAACATTTGCATTTAAATGGCATGCCATTGTGAAACACTGCCCTAGGGAGTGGAGGAGGTTGCCACCAAGGAACCCATCTGGTATGGCACAATCTGGAATTCTTTTGTGATTGTCATAGCTTTCATAAACCTTGATGAAGTCACCTAAAATCATATGGGCATCTGATATAGAATTTTTAGAAGGTTTAAGGTCAATGAAGATGGCAGAATCTTCCTGGCCACCCACAATACCCTCCTGATGATTCAATTTTCAAAATTATGGTTCAATAAGAACTGATAAAAATGCTGTAACTTTTTTATTTTTTCATAATTCTTACTGATTTTCCCAATGTCTACATTGTTGAGTATTATACTTGTGGTTCGTGGTGGATCAGGTCTGCACAAAAAAGCTTGAAAATGACCAAATTAAAGTTATAAAAAAGTACAAATTGATAACTCATCTTTCAGCCTTGGACAATGATGCTTTTCAGAAAACTAGAATTCTTCAGAAAACTTTTAATTTCATGATTCCTTTACTTGGGCAATGGGGAAATTCCTGATTATTTATTTAAAGATTCCATTTGTGGTGATTCTCATTCAGTATACGTAAACTGGAATTTGCCCAGGAGTTGTATATCGTTCTCAAGAGTTGTTTACGATGGGCGTTGGTTTTATATTGCAGTTATACAATGCTATTATACAATCATATAAAGCACTTAGGATGGAATAAAACTTTATATACATATATACGATATACAGTAATGTAAAGTTTAATTACTTACATGTTTTTTGTCCCCAAACTGCTGCGTAATGTAGAAGACAACAAAACACATATAATACATGCATCATATCCTTCATTTCTGCTGTCGTATTGACTGTGGCTATGTTGTCTAATGAAAGTCACAACTTGAGTTGATTCTTAGTATTTAGGATCACGTATAAATCTTCTTGAAACTATAGACTCCTCTATGAAGTTCTAAGAAAATAGTCTTGTTTTTCAGACAGCGTTCAAAAGCTTTGAATGGAGAGCTTTGAATACTTAAAGGGGTGGTATTCAAATGTCAACAATCATAAAATGTTGTATGTATATTTCATGAATGAAGATGGTTTTTGCCGCAAAACAAACCTTTAATTTGGACACCATCATAACTGCATAATGAAATTACATAATCTACAAATGTGGGGAGAGGGATTAAATCTATTATGAATCTAACTTTGTTATTCCCAAAATTGATAGCATTTTTGACACTTTCCCTCACAGAATGAAAATTGAAAAGTTCTGTACGTGTAATCGGGCAAATTGACCCTGATAACAATTGAAATAAAAACATGCACCTTATGGATAAGTATAATTTAAAACGAAAATGAATTGGATAATAATTTATTATAAATATGTTTTGTTTGATGTTTGTTTATAGTAAAATCATATTAGATACACTGTACTTCTCAAGTTGTTAATAGATTAAAACTTGAGGAATTGGAACACATTTGGTACCTGAACATAGTGTATTAGTGCATCACTTGGGGGGGGGTGTTCTACTGAAGTCTTTATATTAAGAATATGAGTAACAGGACTTTGAAAGATGTTAATCTTCTGGTGTTATTCCACTGCACAGGTCGTTACTGTAGTATCATGCAATTACCACAAGTAGAGAGGAATAATTCCACACCTCTCTTCAAACATTTCACAACATTTCCCAACAATTTGAGGAGCTGGCTGTGCTTGTGTACAAACAGAGGCACCTTGACATTTTTATGAAGGGCAATAATTTAAAAGAACATTGTTGATAAGGCTTGGATGGAATGAGACTGATAATAATATCTTATTGTTTGTTTGGCCTATTCAATTAAAAGACCACGTGCGGTATGGCAAGTGATTTTAGACGGTCATATCTTTCACCATGAGTACTTCCTGGGCATAAATACAGTGGTTTTTTTATTAAAACAATGTGTTTTCTTTCAAGTGAAGTACCCATGATGATAAAAATATCAATCGAACAATTCGAAAAATTATGAATAAGGACCCTATGTCAACATTTTTTTCAAAATATTGAACCTATTTACTCAAAAGAGGATCTCCTTTTTCTGATTTTTATTGCATGAAAAGATTAATCAACAAGGGGTCTAAAACATCTTCAAAAATATTATGGTATTGAAAGTCTAGTTTTGAAGATATCAATTTTCGGTGACCAAAATGATGCTGAAAACAATGGATAGCACGAGTTTTCCCTATGGGAAAATAACATGGGATATGTGGTTTTTAACTTTAACACATTTCAATACGCATCCCCTTTTCAGAAATTGTTCATATAGTGTAGAAGAAATTTTCGATGTGTTTAAATTGAGAAAAGCAAGATCCTCTTTTTAGAAAATAAGCCTAACATTTTTAAAAAAATGCCAGGGTGGGGCCTTAATCCATAATTTTTCAGAGAGTTGGATTGATATTTTACTACCATGGGGACTTCCCTTGAAAGAAAACATATTGTTTTAATAAAAACCATTGTTTTTATGGCCAGAAAGTACTAATGGTGAAATATATGACTGTCTAAAATCACTTGCCATACTACACATGGACCTTTGCCTAATACCTGGTTTTGAACTTGGCTGAGCCCCTGCTCTCATTTTGAAAATGATTATGAAAAGCATGTGACTTTCTGTACTTAAAGCCATACATGGGCTGAGTTTAATTAATAATCCTGCGTGACATGCCTCAAGTGGCAAAAATGCTCTCTTGATTTATAACCATTATTTATGATGTTATTTCAACTCTAATTCCAGAGTACCTCTATGGGCCACAGTGAGGTTAATGAAGACACAGTATACACCTGTGTAGGACATCCACTTAGATCTGATATAGAAAATATAGTACAATGGATGCTCAATGACGATTTCACTAAAGCATACAACAGTATCCTTTATAAATATATTAAGACTACAGTAAAACCTGTATATATGGAGACCTTTGTAATCCAAACACCTTTTAATATGAACACTTCCTCTCCGTTCCAATTTTGTAATCTCCCATTGACTCACTTGAGAAAGAAACATTGAAATGTAAAATGCTATTCCGAACACTTTAAAGGACTAAACAGCTATTAAAGGACTAATTGTGTTTAATGTTCATGCAGTTAGTTGCATTTTATTGAACTTATGGCAGTGCACTTTTGACAGATACTTTGGAAGATAATATATTTGTGAGGTAGAATATATATCGATAGAACATTTGTAAAGATGTATATTGCTTGCAATTTCTTCTCCTCTGATTCTGCCTTTAATGACAGTTCAAGTTTCCATTTATTTTACCTTAATTCATCTCCCAGATATAACAAACTTGAAAACCATAAAAGGTTTGGCATTACATGATATCCTAACTGAAGTCCATTCGTATGTACACAGAAGTAAGAACTGGTTAATTATTCATTAACAAAATGATAATGTGTGATAGTCTTTCGCACAGTTCATCGATACAAGTTTATTGTGAACAAAATGTCACCGATGGATGACCTTTACAACATTTTATATGCATGTGTTTATCCTATGTGTTCAACTTTTTAGACTTAATACTTATGTTGTTCTTGTTTCAGTTGATTTCCCAATGCACATTAGGATTGACCTGTTCAACTTGTTAGACTTAATACTTATGTTGTTCTTGTTTCAGTTGATTTCCCAATGCACATTAGGATTGACCTGTTCAACTTGTTAGACTTAATATTTATGTTGTTCTTGTTACAGTTGATTTCCCAATGCACATTAGGATTGACCTGTTCAACTTGTTAGACTTAATACTTATGTTGTTCTTGTTTCAGTTGATTTCCCAATGCACATTAGGATTGACCTGTTCAACTTGTTAGACTTAATACTTATGTTGTTCTTGTTTCAGTTGATTTCCCAATGCACATTAGGATTGACCTGTTCAACTTGATAGACTTAATACTTATGTTGTTCTTGTTTCAGTTGATTTCCCAATGCACATTAGGATTGACCTGTTCAACTTGATAGACTTAATATTTATGTTGTTCTTGTTTCAGTTGATTTCCCAATGCACATTAGGATTGACCTGTTCAACTTGTTAGACTTAATACTTATGTTGTTCTTGTTTCAGTTGATTTCCCAATGCACATTAGGATTGACCTGTTCAACTTGATAGACTTAATATTTATGTTGTTCTTGTTTCAGTTGATTTCCCAATGCACATTAGGATTGACCTGTTCAACTTGTTAGACTTAATATTTATGTTGTTCTTGTTTCAGTTGATTTCCCAATGCACATTAGGATTGACCTGTTCAACTTGATAGACTTAATATTTATGTTGTTCTTGTTTCAGTTGATTTCCCAATGCACATTAGGATTGACCTGTTCAACTTGTTAGACTTAATATTTATGTTGTTCTTGTTTCAGTTGATTTCCCAATGCACATTAGGATTGACCTGTTCAACTTGATAGACTTAATATTTATGTTGTTCTTGTTTCAGTTGATTTCCCAATGCATATTAGGATTGACCTGTTCAACTTGATAGACTTAATACTTATGTTGTTCTTGTTTCAGTTGATTTCCCAATGCATATTAGGATTGACCTGTTCAACTTGTTAGACTTAATACTTATGTTGTTCTTGTTTCAGTTGATTTCCCAATGCATATTAGGATTGACCTGTTCAACTTGATAGACTTAATATTTATGTTGTTCTTGTTTCAGTTGATTTCCCAATGCACATTAGGATTGACCTGTTCAACTTGATAGACTTAATATTTATGTTGTTCTTGTTTCAGTTGATTTCCCAATGCACATTAGGATTGACCTGTTCAACTTGATAGACTTAATATTTATGTTGTTCTTGTTTCAGTTGATTTCCCAATGCACATTAGGATTGATCTGTTAGAAAAGATGGCTGACATTGAGTAAGTAACAAAAAGTACTTTGCCTCTAATAATGTCAAGTTCGCCTGTATCAGGCCTTAGGAGATTTTCTCAACAGGGTGCTTAATCCTGTTTTGGTCAAAATATCTCAATAGTTAACCCCTTTGGCATGGAGGAAACAGATATTCAATGGGGTGACATGTAATATTCAAATTATCAATTGGGTGAAAAGCACTCAGTTGCTCTGAGTTTGGGAGATCACTAACATTAATTGTACTGTAACAACAATGAGGTCCTTTTTTGAACTGTCATAACTTAGATTTAGTCGTTTTTGAAACTGTTGTAACTTAAGATTTGATCGCAAGTCGCAAGTCATCAAAAAGTAGACAATGGTTTTCTCAGAAACTTAAGTTAAGATCATACCAAAAACAAACCCTGGATAACAAGTTGCTACTACAGCTCAGCAGTGGTGACTAGCCCTTATGGCTCAGCAGTAGAGCATCAGACTTTGGAGTGGAAGGTCCTTGGTTAATTCCCACACAGGGCATTTTATTTTAGCACACTCCCTTTCATGTCTCTATCTGGCCTGTTACACCATAGCTCCATGGAGGCACCCCTGGGTTGTTACCCTACTAAGTCTAACATTATTTTCCCTGAAGTTTACTCTGAAAATCCAGATTCAGAGAGTTCAGTTCTTATCAAAATAATAAATGCATGCTTATATCTAAAATTATAGTTGTTCATTTAACAAAGATTGCTTCTATGAGTAAAACTGAAAAAATCACAGGGCTTCAAAATCAAGAATATATTCTTTCTTTTTACCCCCTGCGATAAGCAATTACCATTTCCTCAATTAAGAACTCACAATCTGATTGGCTGTCGCAACACTGCGACAGAAGTCATTGCGCATAATTAGATCATGTGATTCAGTTTAATTGGGTGCTTCCAAATTGGTTATAGCAGGGGGAAGAAGGAGGTACGTATTCTGGATACCTGCTTAGGAGGATGGGGCTATTAAACATCATAAAGTTAGGTGTGAAATATTGATCCTTGAATTGGAAATTAAATCAGCTTTTTGTGATCACCTGAAATTTTGTTCTTTCAGATCCAGGTTGGCATCAGGTACCAGTGAAAAAATACAACTGAGTTCATTAGTGGCAGCCTTCCAAGTTGCAAGAGATGCTGTAGTAGAGACTGTCAATTCATAGTTGTTGGACCCTGAACCATGCACTGAACTGAACTGTATTCTGATTTGCCAGGTCACCTCTTTATGTAACAGACAGGACTAACTACTCTCAAATAATAGAGGCTATAGACTCTTAATGGTGGAATTGTCCACCATTAGTCCCATGACCTATAAATGACTTAATGTTGAATGAACCTCTGTATTACTTCCTGCGAAAGCTATTTGGATTTTGATATAATAGCTTTCCCACGGAGCATTTGGACAGCTGATTGATTGTGACCTTTGAAATCGAATTAAGTCGATCAGCGGCTTACTTTTGGTCTCTAACTGTGTCTTACATCAGTATCATCAATCCTTGTAAGTATTGGAGCGCTGGAGTACTTCTTTTTCGATCAAGACTTGTAATTGTTAGTCGAGTGAATCGTTTTACTGCCAAATTCCAATATGGCGTTTTCTGCTCGGACATTTTCATAAATCTCCGGAGGTTGTCCGAACCTAACTAATTCTCAAAATTCATTTCGTTCGTTGCGTATCTCGCTCCTAGCGAACCTCCATATTGGAAATAGGTCTAAAAAACTTTCACTCGATGAACAATTTACAAGTCTTGATCGAAAAAGAAGTACTCCAGCGCCCCAATACTTACAAGGATTGATGATACTGATGTAAGACACAGTTAGAGACCAAAAGTAAGCCGCTGATCGACTTAATTCGATTTCAAAGGTCACTATTGATCAGCTGTTCACTTTCCCGTTTGAGAGCCATAAGTTTCAAAATCTAACATGGCTCTCGAAGTGAGTTACCTCTGCATCTCCCAAGTGAAACACTTTATAGGTACTAAAGGTGTGCCAATTGGTCAGGTTTTCCTGTTTAGCGCTGATTTGATGTCAAACTGGAACTATAAGTTACATATCAAATAAACTAAAAAACCAAAAATTGAATTTTCCTGTTGATTGCCTCAGGGTTGTGAAATGCCATTTGTATAATTTGCCTTTACATTGTCTTCAAAAGTGAATATCAATTAAGTCACTGTAGTACCTACCTAGTGAACCATTTGTATGGAAGTCACAGTAGGAAAGTAAGCAGGCTATATCCACCGATATTGCCCACTTACATTGATATTGCCCACATGATGTCATGTCTAATTTCGATCAAATTCTACTCACGCACAGATTTGCAATGTCATTGATCCCAAGTAGCCATGGGAATAAGGGTATGTAATACATCAGTTATGTCACTATGACATGAAATGTGCCTTTGTTCTTGTCCAAATATAGAGCCTCCCAAGGGTGGCCTATAATGGCAGACCTCCAGCCTATTTTGTGTAATGTGACATAACCTCTAATTATACCTACGAGTGATTCCTAACTGTACTATGTACTAAGTCCTGTATTATACTACAAATACACTCTACCCCACCCCCATACTGTAGCCTGTATCCCTTTAAAAGGAATACAGGGTACAGTAATAGTGAAGTTGCAAATGCAGTGTATAGGTTCATTGAGCAGTTTGTGGTATATTATTACCAGAAAAGCCCCATATAAAAAGATGGAGAATACCTGTTCCATTTACAACTTACTGTAGCCTGTATCCCTTTTAAACATAGTACTGTTGTAGGGTAGAGTCATGTATGCCTGTCCACATCATAAACTGGAAACTGAACAATTCAAGGTGGAAATGATACACTTCTCTCATAGTCTTTACTGCCCTGTCTCTTGTTTCTTCTCTTAAGACTTGGATACCTCTTGCTTGTATCTTCCTTCAATAAAACCAAGAGAAAATGAGTTAAAAATACAGATTTTAAAGTTATTATGTTTAGGCAAATTTTGATTCTTAAATTAACAAAAACAAAAAATTCAACATCTGGGGTACAAGTATCTAAACAATGATCCTGATGTTGAATTTTTTTGAGGAGTAATTTATCACATTGAAACCCAAGTCACAAGCATATATCATGCACTGCCTCAAATCTCTTGTTTGAATTACTGTTGGGTTGCCACACAGTTCGCCATCTGATCTTGTTCTTTGAGACTGACTATTTTGTAGATGGAGGAAGTGTTGCAATTTGGGGTACCTGGATACGGTAGGCTTATCCATCTTGTAGATTTATCAAGAGCAGTGTTATATCTACTGTAGTGGGCGAATATTTCCATTCTGTACCCTCTTCATTACTTGGGCACTTGGAGGCAATAATTCGTGAAACCCTTGAGAGGTGGCTTTGAAAAATGTTAGCTCCAAACTTGCAAAATGTTTCAAGATTTTGATTCAATGCCTTGGTTGTCTCATATATTATGCTCTTCCCACAGTCAGGCATTTTAAAGGGAAGTTGCACAGAGTCATTCCAAGATAAAGTGTTGCATGGTTTTGAAACATTGGATAGCCTATAAGTGCTCACATTTCCTTTGCCCTCGATCAAGGGTTTTAAGTCATAGTCATTTAGTTTTCCATTCCATTCACAATGCATTGTTTGGCATCTGACTTTACCATCATTGTAGAAGTTAAAAGTGTTTGCTTTATCATTACAAGCCTGTATCATGCATTCATTAAGGTGTTTAACCTCATGGTGTTCAAATATTTGAAAACAGTCAGACATCATATTACTATCACTGTCCACTACTTGTCTCATGAGATATGAATTATGGCACCTTTGGCTATATCTATGTGGCAGGGCATATGTCACACCTGTGGTGTCATTCTTTGGTTCAGGCTTCCAATTATAATTCCAATCAGTACCAATCTTGTTAGATTGACATTTGAATATCCAACATTGGATTTCCTTTTTGTAGTATATTACATTAGCATTCAGATCACGAGCCATATTCAAACATTGCTCAAAGGAGTGGAGAAGATCATCCCCAGTGAAACCAACTGTGTCACAATTTGGCATTATGTTGAATTTGTCATAGTTTTGATTCACAATGATGAAGTCATCTAAAAATAAATGATTATCAAATTAACTTTTAAACACATACATGTACATGGGGAGTGTAACATCATAGAACTTCTTTTTCATCTATTTGCTCAGAGTCTAGTTATAAAATTATCGACGAAGCTCTCTTTTAAGAAGTGAAGTCGAACGAATGTAAAGGGTATGAATTATCACAGGCATTCTAATACTCATAGCATCTTTTTGTTGTAGCGCAGAGGGACTGAGATGGAGAGGGCATGGCTAAATACCACAATGAATCACAGTTAATAAAGCAAAACCAGTCTTAGTGAAAAACAAGCTCCCACTCACCGAAATGATGCTCAAAGTAAAACAATGAAAAAATCTAAAAGTAGTGGAGTTTTACAGATCTCAACTGACACAATTTCTACAAACCTGTTAAAATATAATTACTTCACTGGTATTGAATATTTTATGACATTTAACAATTTTTAAAGTGTTGCAAAAACTTTCTTTCATCTTGTCCTTTTAAGGCTTTGAGATACAGAAAGCAGAAAAGCATTAGGCCTAGTTTAATAAGCTCATGCATTTTGATGACAGATTGATCTGTATTCCCCTGCTTTAAAATTGTGCAGTTAATACTTTGCTTTTATGTATTTTAATTTGGTCTTCTTGGTGCCATTTGACATATAAGCAGTAAAACACTATGTTATAAATTCTACTTTTCTTGCGTCATGACTTCACTGAGATAGTGAGTAACCATTATTTGTGTACAAGCAGGCCCGTAGCCAGGATTTGCCAAGGGGGTACACTTTTTGAAAAATTCCAGAGGGGTTCACTTTTGACAATTTTAGTTCTTAAATTGATGGCCAAAATCACTTAAAAAATGTTCAGAATGGTGAAAAACTTGACTGGCTTGATTCACTCGAACCAATCGGACCCCCTGGCTACAGGCCTGACAAGTATAAGTGGAACAACTGTAAAATATATCAAGTTGTTTTGATACTGAAATTAGTTGACTGGGACATATCTTCATGCCCCTACTACTCAATCATAAAGTAATTGAAAGTGATTTGTCATGAAAATGCCTCAGTCACATTTGATCTACGTCAAACTGTACGGTGGGCATAGCTTCCCAAAATCTAGAGAAATATGCAGCACAAAATATAGTGATAAGCAGTATTATGTAGATTTTCTATATCACGACCAGGATTTTGTGACACTACAGCTGCCATACGTCCGCCTTAGAGCCAATGTGACTGAGGCATTAAGTACATGTCACCACATAATAAATTATGCCAGCTAGGTTTTAAACTGGTTTATTATCTGGTTGAATAAATTGTGTTATATTAATATCAAATTAATACAATTAATTGTAAAACAAACATTTCGTTATGATTTTCTTGTTTATTGTAACATGTTAATATATAATATATTTCCAGAATATCCAGTTGAACAAAATAATTCATCAAACTCATTCTTTATTACACATAACATCAAATAAATAACTTCTGCCTATCTACATGACCTCAATAACTTTTTCTAAATTATACAATGTAAATAAGGATTAGCCTTGCCTAAGTCAGTATTATCTTTGATTTATCTTGACTTTTCAATTAATGAAAATAAAAAATAAAAAAATTTAGTAAAAAGACACGGTGACTTTGGCGAGGCTAATAAGGTTTCATGTCAGTACTAATTTGCACAGATTTTGAAAATTCATGTACATGTAATTTTAACATTTAACATTTTACAATATCTATTCTTTACTGCCACTTTTAATGTGCATGAACGTTTAATTGGCACTTGTTAATTTAAAGTCAATAAGTAGACTTTTTATATCAATGAATGAAACAAAATTGTGTACTATAAATAAAAACTACCACCTTACAATAAATGCAGCCACCCTGAAATAATATGATTGCAATAATACTTGAATGCTCTTTTTCATGATTTTTCATGATTTGCCATGAACTTAATGTCTTCATCATTCCCTATTTTGTCATTTTCCAACCATGGCTTCAAATACTGGTTCAAATATTTCAATTCTTCTCAGTTGGGTGAAAACTGGGTTTGGCATCTTTTTATGCTGCATAATAATAAGTGCATCTATTTATCCGCCATGCCCATATTGGAGATATAAGCTAAACTGGTATTTGTACATGTATTAAGTCAAACGCACATTCATTTAATGTCAATGCTTAATGTTTCAATGTCTATGCATAGTATTTTCAATGCTGGTGAGATGACTGAGCTTTATTTTTAAGATATTCACTTGTTTAGTCACTAAAGGTATTATTACACTAAGGATCACTAAGGCACATTGTAACTTAAACATATTTCAACACTTCTCCTTTCATATGTTACGTTGACAATACATGTGATGGGTCCTTTCTAAACCAGCAGTGAATAGAGTGAAAGAGTAGACACTTGAATATTAGAAACTGATTAGCACTGGTAATCATTAATAGTCTTTCTTGTCAGAAATGCCATTGATATCCCATAATGCTCTCCATTCGTCTGCTCCCAGCAAAGACCGTGACGTCACCCAACCTACTGACTCTATGTCAGCCATAAATTGAGTGAATGTTGCATTTGTGAATGTCAGGGATGCTTGGTGCATGGCCTCAACATCACCTGGAAAAGGGAATAAATCAGAAGGTGCTGGATGAATCAAAAAATATGTTCTGAATATACACTCATGCCAGTTATTGGCTGCTACATTTATGCCATGGTTACTGAAATTGTATGCTTTTTATAGCTTGTTAAATTCATTTTGTTTTTACAGTAAACTGTTTGATTTTAAAGGGATATGACTTTTATCCATGAGGTAAAAACAGATATCTTATATTTATACATCCTCCTAAGCAGGTGTCCAGAATACGTACCTCCTTCTTCCCCCTGCTATAACCAATTTGGACGCGCCCGATTTAACTGAATCACGTGATCTAATTATGCGCAAAGACTTATACATGATTTCTGTCGCAGTGTTGCGACAGCCAATCAGATTGCGAGTTCTTAATCGGGGAATTGCTAACTGCTTATAGCAGGGTGTAAGAAGAAAGAAGATATTCTGGATTTTGAAGCCCTGTGATCGGAGGATGATATTTATATTATCCATATATGCCTACTTCGCCTAGGGATACATACATTGTACAAAATTAAGTTTTATAAATCCCAGCTGATTGCCTTCAAAAAACTCATTACTGACATTTCACTTACCATTTTTATATCCCTCGGCAATCTGGTTGAGATACACATTATTCTGAAAAAATAAATTTTTAAATTCAAAACAAGATGTCTCTAAAGTCTGAAGTGAGAACTGATAGTTATCAATTTTGATATATTCCCTTATCTACAGTAATGTTATTTAAATATTTATTCATAAAAAACTTTGCCAATAAAATAAAACGCAATCAATAGCATATCACGTGCAAGTGAAACAAGTCTATGTAATCATATCTATCTACAAAGAAAATTTTTGGCCAGTACAGAGGGCTTCTATATGCATTGGTTTTATTGTAATCTTCCAAATATTTGCATGAAAACAAAATGTAAAACTTCAAAATTAGATATATATTACGAATATTTAGATTGCAGAGAATGACTTCAATGTTAGTAAATAGACCTTGAAGATGAGTCACACATATTGATCTGTGTACCCTGAATGCATGACATTTTATTCCGCTATGCATTCAAAGTTTATAAAAGTTGCATTATCGATTAAACCTGATTATCCAAACGCCTCTCAAATCTATTAACCTCTCAATGGGAATGCTTATTTCAGTCCTATTTCTTAATCTGCCATGGACTTCAATGTTAAAATTAAATCAAAAATGGCAGCCATTTCGAAAATAGGTGAGCTTTTGAACCAAGAGACATAGGGGGGTTTTCTGTATTGATGTTGGAACCAAAATAATTTAAAACGGGAATCCTATCGAAAGGTTTTAAAACATGCCACTATTGTTGACAAACAGACAGACAGAGTGACAGCTATAGCTCGGCATGTGAGCTAAAAACCACAGAATGTGAACACCTGTTGATCCAAACACTTGTGAGGTCCAAGTGATGTTTAAATTAAACAGGTTCAACTGTTTTTCTATTTTGACAAAAATCTGAGATAACCTTCTTACCTGTGGAGTACTGGAATGTTGAGCAGCAAAGTTTATAACTTCTGCCTGGTAGCAACTTTTGAAATGGTCCACAACTTTGGAACCTTCATGTAGGGCAATACAGATATATCCTAAAACAAAGATGCAATAAATTAAAATTGAGAAAACTGATCATTCTTCTCACTTCAAAGAATATCTTATATTTTATATACTACAGGAAAACCTGCAAAGTGGAAAACTTTCCTATCCAGCCAGTTTTTGGATGAGGGCATGCCTTCAGTTAAGAATACATGTACCTTTTTTTAAATTCACTCCTAGCAAATAGTGTTGGTCTTTATAAACAGAGTAAAGTGTTTCCAGATCATCATTACTGAAACATAAAAATGTACAATCATTGTTAAAAAATATTGTTAAAAAATCATTGATTAACGTACAGATTTTTATACCTTACTGGGCAACATTTCATTTGCGTTTATTCAAAGTGCTGCCTGATTCATATGCCTTTTTTGGCAATTCAACATTTGGTGTTTGGCATTTGCCAACACATGTACAAACATTATGACATGTTTTCATTTATACTTCTTTCGCCTGGATAGATACCTCCACATTCCCGAATAAGGTTTCCTTATAATCAAAAGAATGTTTTGATCTAAAATGTAATCTTTTAAGTTATGACATATAATTTATATATATTTCAAATCTGATTCGTTCATAGACAGCTAATATGCATCAAATTTTATATTAGGTAAAAGTATATTGATCTGATATAAAAATGGTGTGTTCGAAGAATGCAAACATATTTCAGTATGGCTCCGCAGGCATTTTTAGGTAACATGTATTTTAATGATAGAGACTTACTTTTTACATGATATGTATTGCACTTGAGTTCCAAGGAAGACATCAAATTTCCTACGAGTTTCTGAAATGTAAAATGAAATATCTAAATATTTATCTAAATCTTCTTCATGATCAGAAAATAGTCATAATCCAAGAAATAACTGTCTAAAATTATTTTCACTACACAACAAAAATCATAAAGGTTCATGATCTCATATAATAAATAAGTAGTACCATGGGTAATGGGCTCATATGGTGAAAGGGCATTCTAGATGTTATTGTTAACCTATACACTGCCTCAAATGTTCATATAATAAATACAATGAGGGCAATTTTCCAGATTGCTAAAGTATTTAGTTTTTTATGAACTACATTAGATATCAAGCCATTTAAGAGATCGTCAATATAAAAACTTACTCCAAAATACTGGTTCCTGAGAGTTCACTTTTGCTATCAGATCAACTCCTGTTCCAGCCAGATAGCCTCTTATGAGAATGTGGAATCTTGCCTGGTTGATAGACTCCATCTTTACACATGTAACAGCCCTATAGTTGGCAAAGATGTGTATAGCAGTGAACAGTAGAAACAGAACCCAGATTAACCTGTAAAATTCAGTAGAGTTTGAGGATTCAGGCTATAATGAAGATACATTTGCATGGAAAATGAAAGTCATCTGCTAAATGAATCTACAACTGAAAGTGAAGGGCAAATATTCAAAGTGGCAGTCATAATAAAGCATTTTATAAATGACATAATTATCAAAGCAATACCCATATCAGCAAAATGAGCAAAGCAAATGCAAATATTAGAAATCATATTTTAGAATGTCACCTACATTCACACAACTGATCAAAAAGTGTAATGCCATAGCAACATGTCCCATGTCACCTTTTGATGGTGACATAAAACTAAAACTGATTTTGAACCTGAATGTATTTAAGTTTGATTTAATAATATACATGTACCTTTGGTTGTCTCCCACCAACGGCACTAGGGCAAAACTGCACAACAAAGCTGAGAGATTCACCAGAGTTTCCTATAAAAATAGAACCAGTACTTGTACTTTCAAACATTATTTAAATAATATCACATTCATATTAAGGAAAGATGGAACTAGAAAACAGCAACTCCATGGAGTAGTAAATCCCACTGAACAAAACATGTTTTGATAAATAGTGGCCATACTAAAAAAATTTCTTGAAAAGAGCTCCTCTGTCCTTCCTCTGTCCTTCTGTCAAAGAATGTTTTTCACAATAAATGATAGCCATTTTGAAAATCAGCTAGCTGCCATCTTGAAAAGTTCTTCTTGAGCGGAGCTCCTTTGTCCAAGGCATCAACAAATAAAATTCTAACCAAATCGGTCCACTGGTATTTGAGATATCCAAGATTATGTTTCTTTTACAAAATTTTACAATTGAAATTCAGCTGCCATCTCGAAAATATCCCCTTAAGCAGAGCTCCTTTGTCCCTAAGGCATCAACATAGAAAATTTGATCCAAATCTGTCCATAGTATATGAGTTATCAAAGATTATGTTGTTTTCAGAAAAATGGCAGCCATTTTGAAATTAAGTGCCCATTCACTAATTTTCAGTAGTTGTAAAGTGAACACAAAAGAAGTCAAACTTTAAACTGTACCTGACCTGTTACATGGAATGCATTGAAGCTGAGCTAACTACACTTACTTATCAACACACCTTATAATCAATACAAAAGAATTCAAATAGCAGTCCTCTTTGTTTTTTGAAGTGAATTTTTGTTAAATGGCAAATTTCTCTGACTAGTTTGGCTTTGCTACAATTGGTTTGATTATAAAAATAAAGGATTGGATATGGCGAACTGAATTGAACACATGTTTCTTTTGAGTCATCAAAAAGTCTGAAAATTATACACATTGTCAATCTAGTGATCATCTTTTGCATGGTAACAGTTTGATTTGAAAAAAATATACTTTTCTCTATATTGTTTTAGAAATCAGGCACTTCTTTTATTCATGGTATCATATGTTTGGAATGAAACGGAACATCTATTCGAACCTCATTGGAACAAAATGACATATACACAACGTGTTTAGGTCTCTCAATGTACAAAGGAAAGTTTGGTTGATTTTTACCTATTTTTGGGGTTTTTGTTTTAATTTATTGAATACTTTTTGTTAAATCAACCAAATTTTCCTTTGTATAACTATAATATTGAGAGGTCTAAGAAAATGTTGTATATGCTATTTTGTTCCAAAAATGTTCGGAAAGCAATTTTATTTCATTCTCAAGAATTGCTGTCAATCATTGACCATAACATAAAGGATCGTGTTTTTTACAGAATGTTTTCAATAATTGGTTTAAGAGAAAAACAATGTTGAATTCAGTTTGCCATATCGATACCAATCCTTTCTGCACTCGCATAAGGCGCATGTGCTAAGTTAATCTTATTTTTTAAAATTTAATTGGTTGATAACCATTTCATGAGCAGGCATGATAAAAGTACTATTTTCATGTCATTTTACATGAAAACTCTGGGGGCATCTTAAGGTACTTGGGGTAATGGATCCTTTGTAATCTGCAATGATTCTTCGTCAAAACGCTGAAGTTCACTGTGTAAAAAGTAGGTCGCTAATATGAGTATGCGTAATGATAACAGAAAATCAAATAATGAGGATCCTCCAGAAAAGTCTATCAAAATATTTGCGGTAATCTGTGTAGTGAATCAAGTTGTGTTATTTTTTTTTTTTTTTTTTTTTTTTTTTTTATTTCATTAAAACATGATAACATTTTTACATATTCGTGGTCGTGACACCTACATAGGTATATAATTGACCACATTTAAAATCATTATTCTAAAATTTTCAAGTGAAATATAGCTTTCATAACAGCTGAAATTCCCATCTTAGATAATCCCAATTTTTTTTTAAATTCATAGCAAATACAACAATAAAAGAGTTTATGGCTTTTGAAATTGAAAATTAAATATGTGCAAATGGTGTTTTTCAATTTAGAACTTATTGTATCATTTACGAGTTGGGACTTGGGAGATTTTATTAGAGCTGTGATATTTGTGGAAAAGAAGCTTACTTATTGGTGAAATAATAATTTTTGATAATGCCAGAAATTATCAACATTATCTTTACCTGACTTCGATCTTTAGCGGAAACATCAGCCAAGTTGTCTCTACGGGCTTGGTGTTGAGTTAGGGCTGCTCTTGTGGCGCAACCAGCTGTACAAGATATTGACTAAACAGAATATAAAAGATGCAAATAATCATAAATATTATCTTTACCTGACTACCATCTTTGGCGGAGACATCAGCCAAGTTGTCTCTACGGGCTTGATGTTGGGTCAGGGCTGCTCTTGTGGCGCCACCTGCTACACCAACTATTGACTAAACAGAATATAAAAGATTTACATAACCAGGTGTATTACGATTACGAATGTAATTCCAATCTTACACCTAACCAGGTGTTTGTAAAATCAAGGATTGTGAGTCTCATACTGCACTGTTTTTCTTCAAACTTTTTCCTTTAAATGCAAAAAATCCCTTTCTGTTTGTACAGAGTGGTGTTTGGGTCCCTAGCTGTGAGAAGCGCTTCTCACAGCTGGGTACCCAAGCGAGGGACTCTGTACAATAAAGCAATGCACAGAAAGGTACTTTTGTTTTCCTTTGAATGGAACAAGTTTGAAGAAAAACGGTGCAGTATGAGACACACTATAAAATTTGAGTTTGTGACTATTGAACTGTGACATTATGCCATCACAATACTAAATGTCGTTATTTGTGCATCATGCTGAATAAATTTCCCAGTTTCTCAAGTATTTTGATCATTTAAAACAAAGAAGTATGAATATAGAATAACATGTTAGAGCTTTTTATGGTTAGAAAAATTGGTATCTGCTCCACCAATCCCTCCCCCCGTGTTGCTATAGCAACCATTTTAAAAGTTAACATTAACTCATGATGCTGAAACTTCAGGATATAACAGATAACACTTCAATTGCAATATACACAAAATTTCAGCTGAATTGAAGAATATTAAAGAAAGTTAGAGCATATAGTGCATTACTTCTGGGACAACCCTCGTAAAAGTTACTTTTACTAAAATTATAACAATTTATTGAAAGTGAATGGGAATGTAATATAATGTACCTTTCCTACTCCTGCAATACACACTATAAATGTAAAATAGGCCTTGAACAGTGGGGCTAAGATTTCCAGGAAAATTGCAAAATCATTCAGAATATCGGCAAACAAGCGCCATCTTTTAGCATCATAATCAAGAGAAGTCCTGAAATAAAGCATAAAGAAAAATTATATAATGCAATGTCAAGCAAATGATTTGAATACAAACACTTGTAGTCATGTACAGTACAGAACATCACCCTAAATACTCCTATGGATTGATAAATTAAACATGCCTAATTTACAAGCAAACATGACAGTCACTCTTGCATCTATGCAAAACATTACTTTCCATTTATGCAAAACATCACATTCATAATTGCATCCAAGCAAAACACGACACTAAACCTTATTTAGAAGCAAAACATTACAACCCTGCACTCAGTAAAACAATTGGCACTCACTCTCTTAGCAAAACATGACACCCAGTCTGCTTAATTGCAAAACATGACAACTCCACTTACAAGTAAAACAATTGGCACTCACTCTCTTAGCAAAACATGACACCCAGTCTGCTTAATTGGAAAACATGACAACTCCACTTACAAGTAAAACAATTGGCACTCACTCTCTTAGCAAAACATGACACCCAGTCTGCTTAATTGCAAAACATGACAACTCCACTTACAAGTAAAACAATTGGCACTCACTCTCTTAGCAAAACATGACACCCAGTCTGCTTAATTGGAAAACATGACAACTCCACTTACAAGTAAAACAATTGGCACTCACTCTCTTAGCAAAACATGACACCCAGTCTGCTTAATTGCAAAACATGACAACTCCACTTACAAGTAAAACATGACACTTGCTCATATTCCAAAGCAAAACATGACACTCACCCTTGCATCCAGGCAAATAGAATCCTTCCAACCATTCCTGTCCCATCTACAAAGAAAAGTTATGTTTACCTAATTTTTATTAATAACATCTACATTATCTCTTGCCCTCTACATCAAGCTTTTGTTCAAATAAGTCTATTTTTCTGACTTATAATCAATATAGTGATTATAAGGTTTGATAATTAGATTATTTTGGCAAAAATTGAAAAAGTATAGATTACCTTATCCTATTTTTAATGAATTTGGCTTCTTAAAATCATCAGTAGGCCTATACATCTTTCATATTTGATCAGATATCTCAATTATTTTCCAAATGACACATTAGACAATCTTAAATACTCTAGAGTAAAAAAGGAAATTAGAATAACCAAAGAAACTATACCTTTCATGAGCCATGTGAGAGTAGCTGCCAAGGCTGTTGCATTCTCATCCCCCACTCCCACACCTTCTAACACTGCTTTAGTGGCCAGTGTACCTGTTATGGAGCTAGCAAATGCCTGCCAAATGCACATACAAGGGTTGTTCATGCGATGGTTGATCAATAAATAACTACAGTAAAACCTGTGTCGTGTCATTTTTTGCCAAGAAAAAACGTTCAGTGTTAGTAGATGTTCACTACAGAGAGGGTAATTTATTCAGAAGTCGGTAAGTATGTGTGAAGTGAGTGAGTTCACTAAGACAGTTTTAACAAGCTCTCAAGAATAAATCACTAATCATTTATTCTCAAATTCCTAGCTATTATATCATTGATCAGCCCTGTTATCACAATTGTTTAAATGAACCTGGTTTCTAAACTTATTTTCAAACAAGTATTTCATCAACGTGCTTTCAAGTTTTAAAACCAAAATTGTGTCAACTAATGTTCTCAAGAAAGCAATTCACTCAAACATGACTATGTACTTTGTACTAAATATACCTCACAATATTGTGAGTATTTTAGGATCGGCATTCAACTGATCATACAACCGAGTTTGCTAATAAATATAGCAACATACCATGATCAATCTCATGAGGTTTCATGAGGTCTTTTTAGTATGTGTGTGTGTGTTGCTTTCACTATTAACACTAGTAACTTTTGAGCATATTCTTTATGCACTTTGTGAAACATGAATAAATTCATAACATGTACCTGCATTGTATCCCAAAGTTGATATTCCAAGTAGTCTTCACTGACTGTATCAGGATAGCCTTGGGGGAGGAATACTGCCTGAAACAACACTTATATAATAACTTAATATTTGGCTAGCCCTGGGAGGGGGGGACACTGCCTGAAACAACATTTATATAATAACTTAATATTTGGCTAGCCCTGGGGGGGGACACTGCCTGAAACAACATTTATATAATAGCTTAATATTTGGCTTGCCTTGGGGGAGGAATACTGCCTGAAACAACATTTATATAATAACCTAATACTTGGCTAGCCCTGGGGGGGGACACTGCCTGAAACAACATTTATATAATAGCTTAATATTTGGCTAGCCTTGGGGGAGGAATACTGCCTGAAACAACATTTATATATCAGAAACAAGTCAAATTCTTTACTTCAGAGAATATTTTTTATTTTATTGAGACTTTCGACTAATATCCCTTAGTCTTTTTCAAAATATAACAGCATGTATACATTTATGTGACGTCATAAACAGACAATGGAAAATTTAATTATGTAACAAATGACCTAGTAACCTAAAAAATAATAACAACAACAAAAAACATAGATACGAAAAAACGAATGACCTAATAATAACCTTAAGATAAATATATCATCGTTATGGTAACAATTAAACTCAAATATTACTATTGCATACTTTGCTATACCATTCTTAATTTACAATATTTTATGATACAAATTGTCCAACTGATACCCATTATCTCTGTTCATTTTAGGTTGCATTGTTTTAATATGAATTGCTTCCTTAACCCTACGTTTAAGATCATGACTCTCATTATCAATGATTTTTACATTGTTCCAGTTTATATTATGATCATATTCCATGGAATGTTCAATAACCGCAGAAGCAAGACCTCCAGTCGACAGTAATGTGGGTCTACGATGTTCTCTGATTCTAGTAACTAGTTCCCGCTTTGTTTCACCTACATAAGTGGCAATACAGTCTTTACAATCAATTTTGTAAATTACACCGGACTTCTTTTGATCATTAGTTTTGTCCTAAACATTGGCAATAGTTGTCGTTTAGTAATAGATATTTTTGATTATTTTAACAACAATAACACGGAACAAGGAACAATTCTATTTTTAGATTTTCAAAAAGCGTTTGATTCTATTGAATGGAACTTTATGTTTGAAACTTTAAAAAAATTTAATTTTAATGATAACATCATAAAATGGCTCAAATTATTATATACAAATCCATTTATTAATATTAAACAAAATGGATGGCTATCTCATAATATTCCTATGGAACGCTCATGTCGGCAGGGCTGCCCCGTTTCTGCAATCGCATTCATATTATGCTGTGAAGTTATGTCTTTAAAACTGATTCAAAATGAAAAAATCAAAGGAATTGAAATTGATAACACAGAGTATAAAATATCACAATCAGCAGATGATACATCATTATTTATGAAAGACAAAGCATCCATAAGTGAAGCATTAAAAACCATTAAACAATTTTCAAAATACTCAGGCCTACAACTCAATTTAAATAAAACAGAAGGAATATGGCTTGGAACCAATCGTGCTTTTGAAAGTAAATTTGAAAATATTAATTTTACAGATGAACCTGTAAGATATTTAGGCATATACATAGGTCATAATGAAAATAAATGCTATGATTTAAACTGGAATGAGAAAATAAATGACCTTGAAAAAACATTAGATTCTTGGAAAAAACGCTACCTTACTTTATTTGGAAAAATCACTATTATAAAGTCTTTAGCCATATCAAAACTTGTATATTCAGCATCTATTTTATCATTTAAAGAAGAAATTATTAAACGAATTAACAATTTAATATACAACTTTTTATGGGATGGGAAGAAAGACAAGATAAGACGAACTATTGTAATAACTCTATAGACAGTGGAGGTCTAAACATGTTAGATTTTCAATCACAGCTAAATGCTCTAAAAGCTGTATGGATTAGTCGTATATATGACAAAAAAAACACATTTAATAAAATTCCGTACTTTTATTTTAGCAAACTGGCTCCGAATATGGACATTTTATTAAAAATGAATGTTTTCTCTAATGAGCATCTTGATAGACTGCCTGTGTTCTATAAACAAGTTCTAAAAGCATATAATAGTTGTAAAGACCATGATATAATCAATAAATTAAAACACCATGAAATAATCCAACAAACCATATGGAATAACAGATTATTTCAATTGAAAGGCAAACCACTTTTCTTCAAATCTTGGATAGATAGTGATATTATCTATGTCAAAGATCTCATTACCCAAAATGAATTTTTAAATGTTAACTATATTTTTGAAAAGTTAAAAAATAAAAAAAATTGGATTTCTGAATATTTTCAAGTCCTAACTGTAATGAAATCAATAAAATGCTTTATTAATATAGAACAAGTAAAATTCACAAATATACCAAGAAAACCCAACTTTAAAGTAAAAAACATCCAATTAGACTTTAGAGGTAAAAAATCCAATTTCTTTTATACAATACTGAAAAATAAAAAATCTGAAAAATGGTTTACCTACAAGAAATGGGAAAGAGATTTTTGTATAACAAATGAAGGTAAAATAGATGAAATAAATTGGCCAAATTTTTTTACTAGCAAGATAATAAAAGTTAAAGACAAAAAATTGCCAATTTTAACTTCAAAATAATTAACAATATTCTTCCTGGATTAACTGACTTATTTCTCTATGGGATAACAGATAATTATCATTGTAGTATTTGCAATAATTTATGTGACTTGAAACATATTATTTTTGAATGTTCCTTAGCAAAAGATATATGGGCACTGATACATAAAACATGTGGCCTTAATATTTCTTACAGAAAAATTATAATTGGTTATAATGGCCATGACTCACATACACATTTTTTAAATTATTTTATCAGCATTGTTACAAACAGTATTTATAAATCATATATTTTAGAATTGAATAGTAAAAAACAAAGAACATTTGAAAGCATGATTTCATTGATAAAATATGAAATTAATTACAGAAAAATGTATTTTATTGTTCAAAGTGGAATTTTGTATCAAAACTATTAAAATGAAAATTGTATGAATTATCTACTTTATGTCATTGTTTATGTTATGTAAAATAACCAAAAGTTGAATAAAGACTATTTTAAAAGAAAAAAAAAAAACAGAGAGATGAACTTACATAGAACATTTATATAATAACCTAATACTTGGCTAGCCCTGGGGGGAACACTGCCTAAAACAATAACTTAAATACTGAAATATTTGGCTAGCCCTGGGGGGAACACTGCCTGAAACAATAACTTAAATACTGAAATATTTGGCTAGCCCTGGGGAAGGAACATACAAGATGCTTGCGCAATAACCATGAAGATATGGAAGGGGAATTTCACTTTTTCATAACCTGGACTGGTGTATATACTATAGTCAGCTTATAGTAGAACTTCACACTATCTGTGGTAACAAGTAAAAATACAGAAGATCTACAGGTAGGCCCAAAATTAAAAAATAAAGCCCAGTTTTTTACCAAAATTTCCCAATTAGAGTCCATTTCACTGCTTCATTTCGTCAGTAGAACGGCAAAAATAAGAAATTGGGAGACCATTGTGCAATAATATATGGAAAAGTATATTCATAATGTACATGAATGACATTTGTATATCTTGGATTGCTTCTAGTTTGGCTTATAAAGTGTGTGGCCTCTTATATTTGGATGTTTCTCTGCCATGTTATTTTCAATAAGATTAACATGGCTGAAATTCTTCAAATTACAAGACGGCACAGGCTTATTGCACAAAAAACTAAAAAATCTGAAATATACAAATGTCATTCATGTACATTATGAATACACTTTTCCATATATTATTGCACAATGGTCTCCCAATTTCTTATTTTTGCCATTCTACTGACGAAATGAAGCAGTGAAATGGACTCTAGGTAAATCTGCATGTTCGGAATTTTGCTGCAATCCTCAATTGAGTCACGAAATATTCTGAGGAAAATGTGTGACATATACGGTATCCGCGTGAAAATTCCGAATGAAACGAGTTTTTTTTTCAGCGTTCGGTTTTTTTACTGTAACGGGGATCACAAGTTTTTCTACAGGAATATTTTTGCTTGACAATAATCAGGTAATATGGGTATTTGCATGATATATTGTCACGCAAAAAAAATTGGCGTGACTTCAAATTTTCTAGCAAATGCGTGACAAATACGCAAATTGCGGGACAGTTGGATGGCCTGACATACGGTAGACAATGTGGATAAGGAGTGATTCACATTTGAAAATACCATACCATACCATACCATACCATGGGCTTTCAAGAGACCCTGACCATACCTGAAAGTACTTACCATAAAAAACTGACTGAGTGAAGTTGATCTTCGAGACCGGTCAATTTTGTAAATGTGTCCATTTGATTTCCTTACGTAATCTTGGTGGATATTCTGCGAACCATATGATTCCTTGCAGATCAATCGATCTTCCATTGTGAGTTTGAACAGGTTTTATTCCTCAGATATCAATGAAATACTAATATTATGTTCATTTTTTAATTTTTCAAATTTTCCATGGAGGCTGACATTTTGTTTTCTTTACGCATGCGCATAAAAATTGGCCCATCTGATTGGGTAGAGGTTCTATGTAAGCAGTCACGACACTTAGAGCATTTTCCCATTTAGGACACCCATGGAAATTCTCCTTGTGTCCACTACAAATTTAGGAATTCTCATAACATACACTCAAACTTTGTTTCTACATTTCACATGCAAGCCACATCAATTCATATGTAGTTTCCTCTTGTGTAATTCCATGAACACTATGACACACCATTTGTCTCTAAGCTCAATGTCCAACATGTGTCAGGTACCTATACACATCGTGACCGATGCAAGCAGTCACGAAAATTCAACAAATCTCGTCCACATCAGTTATGCCTGTGAAATCTCCTCCACACGTGCGCACGTATACGTAGTACTAACTCCCTTACATGCGCGAATCTCGCCCACATCCGTTTTGCCTGTGTATTCTCCTCTACACGTGCACGTAGTACTTACTAATTCGCCCTAATTCCCCTGTTTCACATCTTCGCACAGATTGGTGGGGTAAACGGGGGTACGGGGAAACGGGGGTACATACTCATGCATTTACATATCTCCTATACACTTCATCCTACTATATTACGTACCGTGGTTGGCGGGGTAAACGGGGTAGATACTCTGACATGTATTTACATATCTCCTATACACTTCATCCTACTATACGTACCGTGGCTGGCGGGGTAAACGGGGTACATACTTCACATGTATTTACATATCTCCTATACACTTCATCCTACTATACGTACCGTGGCTGGCGGGGTAAACGGGGTACATACTTCACATGTATTTACATATCTCCTATACACTTCATCCTACTATACGTACCGTGGCCGGCGGGGTAAACGGGGTACATACTTCACATGTATTTACATATCTCCTATACACTTCATCCTACTATATTACGTACCGTGGCTGGCGGGGTAAACGGGGTACATACTTCACATGTATTTACATATCTCCTATACACTTCATCCTACTATATTACGTACCGTGGTTGGTGGGGTAAACGGGGTAGATACTCTCACATGTATTTACCCATCTACCATACACTTCATCCTACTATACGTACCGTGGCTGGCGGGGTAAACGGGGTACATACTTCACATGTATTTACATATCTCCTATACACTTCATCCTACTATATTACGTACCGTGGTTGGTGGGGTAAACGGGGTAGATACTCTCACATGTATTTACCCATCTACCATACACTTCATCCTACTATACGTACCGTGGCTGGCGGGGTAATCGGGGTACATACTTCACATGTATTAACATATCTCCCATACACTTCACACTCAAAGCCACTTAAGTGTGAAATAGATTTTGTTAAAAAGTGAAAAAATTCTAAAATGTTTTTTCAAATAGACATATAGTATATATCTGTATACAATTGTACATTCGTTACCCAAGGCATTTAAGTAAACTCCAAGGGAAATTGGCGAATTTTCAAATTGAAATTAGGGTCCGTCTCAAACATGAATTCCTTAAGTAATGCGGGCTCAGCAGGTCATTATGACAGTTTGATTCAAAGAAACGCAAATTCTTTGGCACGCTCTGTAACTAAGAAAGATCGAGGTAGTAAAAAGGTTGTAGGTGTGGTGTCAACCGAATAAGAAGTGGAAAAGAAATCTTATGCTGTGTAGGTAGAAGATGCCCATGTTCTTCAAAAAATGCTAAATGTCAACAATCGTGTGCTTGCCCTTCAAAAAATTGTAACAATGGTAAACCAAAAAAGGAATTAAATGTGAAAAAAACTAGAAGGAGACTAACAAAAGCCAGCAAGAAACATGTAACATCTTTCGAATATTTGTCGAACAATTTGCAAAAAATTAATACTGGGCCGACGGATAAATTCCAATTTTATCTTATTGCCGTGATATACAGATTGCTAATAAAGAGAAAGGGTAAAGAAACGGTAGACGTGAATAGGGTTTATGATATATACTGTAAGTGCATCGACGCAATTAATAAAAGAAGAATGGCAAATGATTCGATTACGAAAATGAACATAAAACAAGTAAAACGTGTTGTCACAAATATAGACAAAAATGAATTTATACTATATTCCAAAGTGTGTAAACGAAATTCTTAAAATACAATTGCCTTTAAACGTTTGATATTGTGGTAGACTTTGCCATTTTCACTATTATTGCCTCGTGGACGATGGTTTACACTAGACATATGGCGCGCATCGCCCCGTGATGTATAAAGTTAGCAAAGAAGATGTGCAGCTGAGATAGGAGGATGAACTTTAACATATTGAATTTTGTTTTCAAAAGAAGATGTGCAGCTGAGATAGGAGGATGAACTTTAACATATTGAATTTTGTTTTCAAAATATAAATTATCCATACTTTGCAAATTTCAAAATTCCATCTTAAGTTAGTACATGTTCGAAATGTGTATTGGGAAAATTTAATATCATGATCACTTGTTATAACACGAGGATCACTTTCTTTTACATTAGGCGTAGATATAAGCATATACGCATTTTTAATAATAGCTTAATGCTACTAATAGGCGACTGATCACTATAATTGTTGGGTAACGGTGGTCTCAGTTATTACACTATTTTCATTCAATGATTTAATGATATACTTTTATGGTCCCTCGATTACATACATCTGCTCTGTACATAATGACCACTTGACAAGTTGCACTCTCCAGATACACGAATGTGCAAATGATCTACTGATATTTGAACTACGATGTCTTCTACAGAAACATTCAACAGTTTAGTCCCATGACAGAGCACATAATTAGTCGAAATTAACATTTGGAAATATTGTGTAACATTATGTAAAACGCCACGCTGAAAATAGGTTCAGTCGCTACTGTAATATTGCTCTACTCATTAATTTAGATTTTGAGTGGATGATTAACTTACATTATCACGTTTGAACTTTACATTAGTAGAGAGATTTCGCACGGCGTGAAAGAACAACTTATAACGTATACTTATACTTATAACCAAACGTACAAGGTGTTTCATTATGTGGGCTTTTCGTCAGGAAAGATCTTCTCGGACTGTAATAAATAAAGGTCAAAGGGATGCCATTTGTTCTTTCTTGAATTGTAGCATGTTTAGTTGATCCAAATGTGTTTGTCTAGAATAAAATAGGCTCATATATAGTACGTATGTTATAGACCTATCTCTTATCAAATTGACTTTTTGAGATGCTCGTTATGAAACACCCTGTATGTCATTTGTTGAGCTACTGAATGGGTCGTTTCCAGGAATTGCTAGAACCTACTAGTTTGATTGGTGTTTCAAATTGATGGTTTAAGTATTTGATTGGATACTGTTCCTACTCAGCCAATTGTTTTTAAAAAATGCTTGCGGTCAATTGTTCCACACACATGCAGGTAAAGCTTTATACGGAGATCCAACTGTATACGTTGATCATCTCGTATATACACCGTTTTGTAAGTTCATTGAACTTATACTGATCATGAAAACTTTGAAATAATCAACTTGTTTATGTCATGACACGCTTTAAAGGATTATGACACACTTTAAAAGATCGTGTTTATAATACACTACAACTACTAGGACACGGAAGTAAGCATTTAAGTATAATGTGCATAATCTACACGTGCATTCACAGTTTCTAGTTGATGGAGCTTTTCTATATCGGGAATAGTTATGTTCCATTAAAGTGTGCGCCTGATCCGGCTACGTATAGCACAGAGTTTATACTGGCGGATTAGACTAGTTCATTTTTTATATGTGTGTGAAAGCTTTCTCTTATTTGCGTTTTTTCGTTTAGTGCGGTTTTGTTATAATTGCCGAGGTCATATAACCGGGATAAAACAATGATTATCGTTGACTGCCCACACACAAAACATACGTTGAGTGAACAGTGTTATTACAAACAACAGGCTTTAGAATACAAAGCGTAGTGTGATAATAAGCTGTACACTACCACTGCTACATGTACATATTACTAATTTACTAGGGGTCCCAAAGAGTGGATAGGGAGGTTGTGTTTGTCACTTTTAAATTTTACATTTCAAAATTGTCATTTTACATGTCATAATTTGTTGGTTTCATTCGTTTAGCCAATCAAAACATTGTAAAACAATAAATTGTCTGTTACGTACAATCAATTTTGTTCAGTTTTGATTAGTTGTCAGAATAAAGTTACGTTCATCTGAATCCATGTATCAAAACAAAAATCCTATTTTCACTTCAAAATACTTCAGTGAGATGAAGGCTCGGAATTGTCACATGCAATAACTTATTGTCGTATTCGTTATTTTATCTTCTCGATAGTAGCATTTAGTCGCACATTTGATGCCAGGTCACCTTGTCGCGTACCTCTTGGGGAACCCCACATTTATGTGTGTACTCATGGAAGTAAATTCCCCGGTGTAGCCGAGAGCCACAAACTTTTCAACAGGTTCGAAATGACCAATTTCTCTCATATATACTCTAAATATTTTATTATTTAGCACCTACAGAGTATTGCTAATAACCATATGTAATTTCAATAAGGAAACTTATCTGGCTACATATAAATTCAATATCAACACTAGCTGTTCTCTCAACACGTCCTGGCTTACCTTGTGGTGACAAACCCTGGATTTTCGCTATTTATAGTTTATCAACACCTGGACGCATGCGCATTTTATAGTTTATCGGGCACTTTAAGTACAATTTGAAATTGATTTTAGTAAATATAATAGTTCGACATGACCCTTTAAAGTATACGTATACGTATAAGTTGTACTTTCACTTATGTACGAAATCTCTCTAGTGTTTTAAAGTATTTACGAATTAAATAACAGGTAGATAGATATATATTGACACAGATAAATTTTATTGAAAATATCCAAAACTTCTAATTGTGAATCTTAAATCATGTTTGTAAATTAAAATAATGATGAAGGAAAATATGATATTTATTTGATATATGCAGAGAATTTGAAGTTTCAAAACAGCAATATTTACACATAAACCAATGGGCTAGTTGTAGAGAACAACCTAGTAGTTAACTGCCATCTATACGAGTCCTGGCTCCCATTATGAACATAACAATAAATACGTCCTCACCAACAAAATTTAATAAATAATATTCAAGATGTGTCAGTTTTTAACGTCATTCTGGTAAAAATAAAAAATGGAAATGAACTGCACTTTTAATCAATGCAAGGTTACCAGGAATACATTGGTAAAAGGTGCATTTTATAAGAATAATATCAACATTCTTCATAACAATTAAATTTATTACCATTCTTAATAAACATAGTTACACATAAGCTTCATTCACTTTAGTAAGTACCCAATATTCAAGAAATGTTTTTTACTAGTTATTATTACAAATACACAGGCAAGGCTTTATGTAGATGTATCTGTGAAATGACTATATCACAACCAGACAGGATTATTTATTAAAAACCAATTAAATAAATGTCCATACTTTATATAGTTATTTGGGAGTCAAACCAAAACCAAAAAATGTAAGTTTTTTAGTGTACATCCACACAACTAATGCAACATTGTGTAAACAAATCATTTAATATGGATAAGATATACATAAGGATATGTACCCCGTTAATCCCGCTTCCCAGGTTATGTATAGGTGCCTGACACAGTGTAGCAATGTACAGTGTTTATGTATACATGTAGGAGCTTGAAACAATGTAGTAACTAATATATTCTATGTAACATGTAAAGGTATGTACTCCGCTTACCCCGCCTACCCCATGGTATGTGTAGGAGCTGTCTCACAGTGTAGCAATGAAGAGAATACATGTGAACGGCGCTTATCCCGCTTACCCCATGGTATGTGTAGGAGCTGTCTCACAGTGTAGCAATGTAGAGAATACATGTAAAGGTATGCACCCCGCTTACCCCGCTTACCCCACCTCCATGGCATGTGTAGAAGCTGCCTCACAGTGTAGCAATGTAGAGAATACATGTAAAGGTATGTACCCCGTTTACCCCGCTTTCCAGCCTATGTATAGGTGCTTGACACAGTGTAGCAATGTGTAGCAATGTAGAGTATACATGTAAAGGTATGCACCCCGCTTACCCCGCTTACCCCACCTCCATGGTATGTGTAGAAGCTGCCTCACAGTGTAGCAATGTAGAGAATACATGTAAAGGTATGTACCCCGCTTACCCCGCTTTCCAGCCTATGTATAGGTGCTGGACACAGTGTAGCAATGTAGAGTATACATGTAAAGGTATGCACCCCGCTTACCCCGCTTACCCCACCTCCATGGTATGTGTAGAAGCTGCCTCACAGTGTAGCAATGTAGAGAATACATGTAAAGGTATGTACCCCGCTTACCCCGCATTCCAGCCTATGTATAGGTGCTTGACACAGTGTAGCAATGTGTAGCAATGTAGAGTATACATGTAAAGGTATGCACCCCGCTTACCCCGCTTACCCCACCTCCATGGTATGTGTAGAAGCTGCCTCACAGTGTAGCAATGTAGAGTATACAGGTAAGGATATGTACCCCGTTTACCCCGCTTTCCAGCCTATGTATAGGTGCTTGACACAGTGTAGCAATGTGTAGCAATGTACAGTATACATGTTGCATGGTTAGAAATGGCTAAGTGCCGTGACATTTTAGCTCGTGACTGCTTACATGGAACCGCAGCCTCTGATTGGTTTAAATTTGACCTTGACCAGATTTTAAAAAATTGGTGAGTGCCTTCGACTATTTTCTGTTTTTATTATCATTTATGTACATTTTCATCCTGCAATATAGCATCAGATTGTGGCTGATGGCATATCAGAATCAACTTGTGGTGAAACTGATAAAATAAAATATGTAACGGTCATTATTTAGCCACTAAAATATCTTTTTCTTTTTTTCAAAATTGAAAATGGTTTCAACTTTCAGTTCAATTGTATGATATGAATTCAAACAAAAATATAGCTACCAATAAAACGGGCAAAAAGTGTACATGTATAAATGTTTAATGTTTGTTACTGTAGTAGTTATAAGTTTGTCTTTTGTATATGATTTGTCTAATGGGTGAATTGAAAACAATAAATCTCTAGATATCTACTGTACTCCCGGTATTTTTCGCATGCGATTTAGTTTCACGCTTTTCGCGAATGTGGTAAAATCGTGAAAAGTAATCTTCGCGAAATTGTCAAATCTTTTAATCCCCAGGGATTTGTGAAATTTTTATTACCTCAGAGACTCCATTGCATTTCATGTTTTGTAAAATGTTTGTCAAGTGTTTTTAGGTGATAAATGGGATACTAAGTAACAATGTCTGTTACAGTGGCTTATCAGATCAAATAAATCAAAAAGTACCATGTAATAGAGGTTAATGTGCAGCATGTCGTTGACCAAGATGATATAGTAGTAGGTGTACTTAGTGAAATTCGCAAAACTTAATAGCCGCAAAATCGTATTTTTTTAAAATTCGGGAAATCAAAACTCACAAAATTAACCGGGAGTACAGTACTTAAAAACTACTTCGAGAAAACCCTCTAAGCTAAACATTTATTTGATATCAATATCACTAAGTTCTTCATCGGAACATTAGATCTGCCACCACATTTATGGGAGTATGAAACCCATACCACTCCTTGATGTTTAAATCTGAAAGAGGAGAAAAACAGAGCTTTAGAGGGGGCCCCCTTTAGAGATGATAGACATAATTATGTCTCTTGCTCATCACTTTTATTTGTCAGAATTTTCATTGGCTAGTTTAGGATTATAACACATCGTTGTGATGTCTTAATTATCCCAACGAACGAAGTTCGGTAGGGATATAGTGAAGCCCTCCGTCCGTCTGTCTGTCCGTCAGTCAGTCAGTCAGTCCGTCCGTCCGTCTGTCAGGAAGATAACTCAAATACTAAAGAAAGATGTGGAAAGATGTATATTGGTGAATAATTTTACGCAAAAAAAAAAATTTTCAAGATGGCCACCACTTTAAAAATGCCAGGACTTTTTCGCAAAAATCATAAATTTTTCATTCTAAACCAAAGTAATTAATATTATTGTTTGAAATTTTGGTAGTATATTCACAACATTTATCTATTTCACATATATTCTGTGTTTTTCATCCTGACCCCCAGGGGCCGTGTATGGGGGGACAGGAAAACAGAAATTTTTAGATCTTTCTGAAGTATAGCTTTATTATACTCAAATGAAAGGCAATTAAGAGTAGATTGCAAATGTTGTATCTTTTTTCTGATTCGAGCCTCGTAAAATTCAAAATGGCCGTCTAATGTACGATTTCGCAATAATTTTTTGATCCCTTCAAATTATGGCTATATTATACTCAAATGGAAGGAATTTTGGAGTAGATCACAATTATGGTATTATTTTTCAGATTTGTATCTCAGAAAATTCAAAATGGCTGCTTTGCAGGAATTCGCAATTCTAAAATCTAATTTTTTCAATTTTAACCAAAGTAATGAGTATAATTGATTGGAATTCGGTAATTGGTATTTTGTTCGTTGGGATTTGCTACTCCGCGGAGTTGCCGTTATCTAGTTGATGTTAGCATGATATGCTTTACATCTTTTATCTTGATGTAAAATAACAACCTGTGATATTGATTACATGCCAGAAAATAACATAATATTATTCGAAGCATTTTAAGAAAATTTTGAAACCTCCATTGAATGACGTCATTTGTCTGTCTATTTGATCAATCAGCGATGTTTTCTCAATATAGATTTACATGATATAGCCCTGGGGTTATTCCCCCTCTTGATCTACGACACCAGGAGTAGATAACCAGACTGGTTTGGTCAATGAAACCTATGTTTTGACCAACTGAGATCTCCCAAACTTCAGTGTGTTAAGAACATTTAGAGTTCAAGACTTCTCTATTCTTTTAAAGAGGAGGGAAAGCCCTAGAGTTTAAAGATGACAGACATATTTACCTCTCTTGCTTACCACCTTTGTTCGTTCGAATTTCATCTGCTAGTTATCAAATACTACACTTCGATGGGATGTTTTAATTGATATAGGCATATTCCGTACACCTTTCTTTATCTTGATGTGAAATGAGAAGCTATGATATTGGTTAACACGCCAGAAATGAACATGATATTATTCCGAAGCGTATTTCGAAAATTTTGAAACCGCCATTGATGACATCATTTGTTTGTCGACTTTTGACCAATCAGCGACGATGTCATCTCAATACAGATTTACATTATAAGTGTATGTCATCTTTGAACCCTGGTGTTTCTCCCCCTCTGATTCTTTTAGTTATTTGAATCTGTTATATCCCAAACACCTAAAATCATCAAAATTCCCTTTCTGCCACATGGATGTCTTAACAGTATGTATTCTTAACTCAGTTTATCTTCATTTCAGTGGTTTGCAGTGTAAACCCTTGACCAGATGTGTTGATACATGACTATGACTTCAAAGAACCTAGAACCAAAGGAGTCTCCATCTTGGGGTATACCACTTCTACAGCGCATAATAAGCAAGACAAGTGACACTTCCAAAGATGACCATCATACTTTTGATGCTCAAAATGTGAATGATGCTAAATACACCGAGAAACAACCATTAACTACAAATACAACATGTGCAACTGATGGTGCTAATTTAGTAGGCATTTATGATGAAACTGAATCACACCATGGAACAACAGAGGAAACACCAAAGAGTTCTCAACACGCAAAAGCTGATGGTACAGATCTACAAAGCATCAATGATCAGGCATCTTACCATTTTGATCCTAAGGATCACCTTGAAGATAACTGCTCAAAAAACGATACCCCCAAAAAGCCCAGTAAATCCAGTGATAAATTTGTGAAGATAAAATCTAAAAGAACTATTACAAGGCCAAGAAAACTTAAAGATAAAGAGTGTGAAATAATCAGCAAGACTGAAACATCTCTTGCAAAACATATAATTGCAAAAACTACGGACAGTCAATTCAAGCCTGTTGTTATGACAACATTAAGTGCAATGAGTCACCAGGTTGAAAATCTAGAAACTGTGCAAACTGGGAATCAAGAAGCTTCACCCAAAGCAAACACTGAGACCATTGTGAATCTAGAAACAGTTAACAACCTCCAGGATCAAGCTGAGAGTACAGAGCTTCATCAGATTCTTCCTAAAGAATCTGTTGCTATAGAAACTGTATCAATAGAAACCAAAACCCGGCAACAGGAAAAGGCTGTTAATTTTGATGACTTTGAGATTCAGTTTGAAGATGATCCACCTCCAAAAACAGGTAATTGTGATTCATTCAGCCATTTATGAACTTGAAGCACATGATAAACTCATTCAAATGGACTTATTAATTGAAGTACATTTATATCAGTTACCTAAACAGTATGTGTGTTTTCAGATTTTATAAGTTCAAAGCCAAGGCGAGGTAGACCTCCAAAATATGACAGGCGAAAGTCAAGACAATCCATGGACTTCACTGCATCAATATCTTTGACATCAACACTAAGTGAACCAACAGAGACCTCCACAACAAGAGTACCAAAAAGCAGCTCAACAGATATTATCTCTAGCGATAGTGGTATATCAGAAATCGGTATGTCCTATGAAAACTGTTCTTCTCAATCCAGTCAAATTCTGTTATGAGGCTTGTAAAACTGAAATTATATTTTACAGTGCATTGAGCAAAAAAAGAAGGTGGACTTGCTTTGATCTCCATGGGATTTTTTTCAAGTGGGTGCAAAATTCTAATTTTCACAATTCAGACCAAAATTGGTCAAAATATGCCAATTTTTCATGATTTTCCTCATTTTCAAGTGGATGCAAATGGATTTTCAGGTGGGTGTAAGCCTATTTTTAAAATCTAAGGTGTCTGCTGCGCCCACTTGCTAAACTGGGGAGATCACTGTGTTCAGTTAAGATATCTCTAAGGACACATTTATGCTCTCACAACTGTTCAGCTAAGTTAAATATAGAAGATCTTAAATTGCAAAATAAGATATTCATTTTGTCAATTGCAGCTTTGAATGATCTACACTTACCATTTGATGAAGATGACCAACCACAATGTTCCCCTAAACCAATACAACGTCCAAAACGGAAACGCCAAGGAAGAAAATCTGCAGATTTTGACATTATCAACACTTCAGCGATTATTTTGAGTCCCGAGCTTGACCCAGGAATGATTAGCGAAAATCCTGATATTGTACCTCCCCTAGGCGCATCTAGAAGGTCAAAAAGGTTAGTGTTCACTGTGATGGACTGTCAGGCCCTTCCTGTCGGCCAAAGGCCTCTTTTTGCCATCTTCTATGAAGTGGTTAAAATAGGTTAATGTACTAGAAGGCTTAAGAAATTTCCTTTTTAAATTGTGGGAAAAGTTAGGAAATTTTGATATGAAAATGTTTTGGTAACCCTGAACATGAGGGAAGAGATATTATCAGCAAAAATTCTGATTTCAGGATCCGACGTAAATCGCTGGAGATTTTCCGCCAATCTCAGCATGAGAAGGAACAAAAGTTGCAGCTGATAGAAACATTGAATTCAACAAGTAAGCACTTTTCATTATGAGAATGGAAACATTAAAGTTTTATATCAATGTTAAAATGTTAAATTTATACTTTAAAATTGCATTTTCTTCATTATAAGAATGCAAAAGTTTTATATTGATGTTAAATTGCTTAAAAATTGCTTTTTCTAATAATGTCACGGGGTCCAACTATACACGAAAAGAACGTTAATATGAATTTTAAACCTACCAGATGTTTGAAAATCAAGGATTGTGAGTCTCATATTGCACCATTTTCTTCAAACTTGTTCCATTCAAAGGAAAAGAAGTCCCTTGATTTAGCGGTGTTTGGTTGCCCAGCTGTGAGAAGCGCATTTTTCGTTTTGCTTTGAATGGAACACCTGTGAAGAAAAATGGTGCAGTGTGAGACTCACAATCTTTGATTTTCAAACACCTGGTAGGTCTAAAATTCAAATTAACGGTCCTAGTTGGCACCCTGTGAATATTATAGGGCTTTCTAATGATGATTTTATAATATAGAGCTATGACGGGTTTCTAATATTATAAAGGCTTTCTAATAATATGAAGGCTTTATAATCTTAAAGGCAGAATCTGATCTATAGGGGGTGACAAATTTACAAGCAACATGTATAATCTACCAAAAGATTCACAATATGTTATAAATTGGTGAAGTTATTAATGATTCAAAGTGCAAAAATGAGTGAAAAATGTTTAAATTCTCCCAAATAATAAGAATGGTAACCATTTTTAAAGAAAAATTATACATTATTGTAAAAATCTTTAGTTTTCCTGGAATAAAGTATGCACTTTTGTGATTTTTAGAAAATAGACATGACAAGAAATGACATGAACCAAAAATTTTCTAAAATTGAAACAATTTTCTGTTTAGCCTGCTCGCTATATCTGATTCTCTCTTTAATCGCCCTACTCTATAAAGTCTTGTTCATCTTTTATTTAATACACAATAGTACCATTCTTAAACCTGATAGGCCATTATAAATTAATGGGTGCCTTTTGTATATACACTGTATTATGAACAATATTGATTAATCCCAGGTGGTAAAGTGGACTTCACTTTGGGTAGCTGGCAATTCTGACATTTGAATGAGTCTGTGGTGTATAATGTTTTGCAGTCCTTGCCATGGTGGCTTGTGGACAACAGTTCATGCCATTTGACAAGAAGTTCTCTGAGTTTGCTTGAGAGCACAGCTTCTTCTTGCCAATTAGTCACCTACGGATTTAAGGACTAATGTGTTCATGTACACTTTATCTTTTACTTCAGGTGCAGCTGTGACAAAGTCTATCCCAACTAATGTCCAACCTCAGAATTCTCCAAGTTCATACCCACATCCAGAAGGCACAACCTTACATCCACAAGACACAACCTTACATCCAGAAGACACAACCTTACATCCACAAGAAACAACCTTACATCCAACCACCACCAAACATGAAGATACTAAGACATACAACAAATGCAATGCTGAACTAAAAAATAAATCTCCAAACTATGTTTCAAATATGATTCATAATGTAACACTTGTTGAAGAACATTTACACGAAACAGTCCATGGAGTGGACACTACTGTGTTTGATATACCAGCTGTCATAGAGCCCCCAGTTCTCAATACTTGCGAATCAGTAGGTGCCAAAAATAGAATAATAAAACAGTCATTTTCAAGGAAATATTCACCTGAGAAATGCAAGGAAGGCGAACCTGAAAGTTTAGGACGTGGTAAACGTGCTAAGAAAACTCTTGTGAATTATGCTGAGCTTGACCAGTGCGATGAAGAGGACTCTAAAAGTAGGTCACCAAAAAAGAAACGTAAAAAAGAAGATGTATCCATTGAAGATATCTATAAGAATAAGAACTATGTTGCACCAGCTGAGAAACCATGGGAGACCATTTATGAAACACCTCATCATAATGATGTTATGACGAAGAAAAAATTCAAAAGGACAATGATATTTGAAGACTATAGTATAGGGAGGCTGAAGAAGAGGCGGCAAAAGGCAATGAAAAATGGATGGAAGCCACCAAGGATGGGCAAGAAAAAGACTGAGCTATTAGAGAAAACATTAGACAAGAAGTTAGCATCATTGGAAGAGGAGATTGAGAATAATTTCCCTAACAGTCCACAACCCTCAACTAGCTCAACAGGTGAGTGTTTCATTTAAAGGGATTACTATGGATAAAGAAGAGTTGACACTATTTTTATGTCACCACCAAAAAGTGGTGACATATTTGTGGTCTCCGTTTTTTTGACGATGGTTGGCGGTTGGTGGTTGGCAGTTGGCGTCTGTAACAAATTCTTACAAATTCCAATAACTTAAAGGACAACTGAAATAGCTTTTCTCAACTTGCAGCTACAAACATGCGGTTTTCTCCATTGTAAGCCCAACGTAGAGTTCTTGCGATAGCCATTATAAAATAAATGTTAGATAACTGCTAACGGTCATAAACAACGAAATAAAACTAACTGATCCATCAAATTGGCCCCCACGTGATAAGTAACGTCATATACAATATATAGCTTTGGTTTATTGGTACCTTAGTAATCACAACGTCACAGCAAATATAGGATTGTAGTGTAAACCAAAACAAAACATTTTGGCATTATGACATTATGGGCCACGTGGGGACCAGTGAGAGATCACGTGGGGGCCAATAACGTCACAACCAATTCGAATATTGCTTATTAAGCAGCTATAACGATCGTTAGAGTGAAATAGTTTTCGCACTACAGATGAGAAAACATGTCCAAATACATTTATCAAAAAATTATATTGATTCCTTTAGGTTAAAAATACCATTTCATATCTGCTTTAACAAATACTGTTTAGACTGACTTCAATTTTTTTCAAAATCATCTACATGTTTTCAGAAGTTCAAATCTGACTCAAGATTTGGACTTCAATGACCTTTTCAAGGTCAAAAAGATCTTTTTTCAACTTGCTTCAAATTGACCAATTTCTTTTTTCAAAATCATCTACAACTTATCAGAAGTTCAAATCTGACTTTAGATTTGAGATTTGACCTTCAATGACCTTCTCAATGTCAAAAAAGGTCAAAAAGGTATTTTTTCAACTTGCTTCAAATTGACCAATTTTTTTTCAACAGCATCTACATGTTCTCAACAGTTCAAATCTAACTATAGATTTGACCTTCAATGACATTCTCAATGTCAAAAAGGTATTTTTCATCTTGCTTCAAATTGACCAATTTTTTCAAAATCATCTACAAGTTCTCAAATTGACCAATTTTTTCAAAATCATCTACAAGTTCTCAGATTAGTTCAAATCTGACTTTAGATTCGAGATTTGACCTTCATTGGCCTTTTCAGGTTCAAAAAAGGTATTTTTCTACTTGCTTCAAATTGAACAATTTATTTTTTCAAAATCATCTACAAGTTCTCAGACATTTAAATCTGACTTAAGATTGAACTCATAATATTGTGATCGCCTAGGTGGTGACATTTTGTCATGTTAATGCCTCGTTGAAAAATTGTCACAATTGCACAATATTCTCATTTCATGGCATGATATTTGAAAAGATTCTACCAACATTTTAGACTTAAAGATTTATTCAATTCCTTCATTCCTATGATTCCCACAGGATTGAATTTTAGCGCGCTTTTCTCAATCAAGAATTCTTACATGGATATCAATATCACAGCAACAGATCTGCCCCATTACTGAATTAAAGTAACAACAAAGAATAAGAGAGTGAAAAAGTTGGAAGCAGATTTTGTCAAGTTTGTCAATGTTCCCTTATAAGAGAAAATTATTATGAGAAAATTATTTGGAATTTTAAGATGCAGAAATATCATAATTCATTAGAACTGAAAAAGGATCCATTTTCAAAATTATTTTGAAAATATGTGTGACATGGCACGACATGATTAAAAATATGATAAAAGTGTGGCAATTTTTGGAAATTCAAGTCTTTGTTGCACCTTTAATTTGGCACCCAGTTGAAAAAAAATCCTTAAGACTATGTGTCACTTCATATTTCTACTTCTTTATGTAATTGGAATTAAGATATAAATGAATAATAAAGCATGTGGAGATTGTTAAGCTAATCCTTGAAACATTTTTTAAAACTTTGAAACTTTTTGTTGCATGAAATCTAAAATTCTTGAATGATTTTCAGGATCATCATTTGTTCCATATAACAACAATGGTCCTTTAGCTATTGCTGAGCAACCACGTGCAAGTTCCTCACCAGCCAATCAGCAAACAGAACAGAATTCAGTGCCAACAATAAGTGAATCTGAGATCCCCAAGGATTCCAAAAATTCTCTGAAACAGCAAAAATCGAGCAAAAGAAAATGCCCTCCAAAAAGGAAGTCATCGAAGAAGCAGTCTGAATTGGAGAAAGTTGAATCCCATAACGAAAATGAAACCCACGAAAATACTGTGATCCCTGATAATATAGTAATCCCAGACACAATTGAAACCTCTGATATGGTCGAAACCAATGAGAAGGTTGATATTAAAGATGAAGTTAAAACCCAAGATAAGGTTGAATCCCAAATTAAAATTGATAAAACCAAAGATAACACAGGATCAACCCAGGATCTAAATATTGATGTCAAGGCTATCAGCTCTGAAACTAAAAGTGAGGTGAAAGTGTTTGAAGGCGAGGTACATGTAGATGTTAAAAAGGAACCTTCTCTTTTGACAGAATCCAGTAATAATACAAATAAAGTTGGTGTGATTATTGAACCTCCTGATCATGTTGATGTAAAAGTTGAAAATATCAGTATGGATGAAATTACTGACAATGGGGCCATTCCAGAAGATTTGAATGCAGAGGACAAAAAGATAGGGGATGTTAAGTCTGTGGTAGATATGGAACCAAATAAGGAAATGGAAGTTGATTTATTCTTCACACCAATGAAAGACATTCCTGTTCCTTCCCAGAAGGGCAATGAAATGTCAAATAGCAATGATGATGGTGATATATCAGGCTTAGATACTATAGCTGAAGAATCAGTCAAAGAGACAATGGAGACAAGCCAAACTAAAGCTTTAAGTGAAACTTACCATGTATCTAAGGAGCCTGTATCAGGTTCTAAAAATGTTTGTGATGAATCCAAGGAGTCTTTTTCTGAATCAAAAGCAGATGACTATCTTACCCCGCAAACAACTTTGAGTGACACTGATACAAATTCTAGTCTGCTTAATGCAACTGCAAATGAATCACTATTAGAAGGGGTCCTTGATTCAAGTGATGAGGCTGTTCAGTCATTGAATTCCAGTTTGGACTCCTTAGACCCAATTCAACTGTTAGAAAAGAGTCGGAACTCAAGGATTGCAGAAGACACAAGGGACCTATTGACCCCCGTCTCAGAAGAAGACTTGAACACTGGGTTCGTGCAAGAGAAATAATATATTCATCTATATCTTTCTCTACATGCATTACATTATGTCAGTTTTCATTCTGGTGTTCTGGTATTCTGCTTTTTTGTCAGATATCAGTTATTTTACATGTTACAACTGTACGTAAGATAAAGTGGAATCTCAAAATGAAAAAAAATAGATTCATGTACATCAAACTGGAACTGACTGAACAATAGAAGCATATATCACAAAGTGCCATGTATCAAAACACTAGTTAAGAAACAATTTGATTGTTATAAGAATGCAAGCATGTTAAAGATAATCTATCTCTCTATTTAACATTATTTACATTAGTAATTAAGAAGCATGTATATCTGAGTAACAAATATTTTAATAGAAATCACAGGTTCATTCCAGTTTGTTATTTTGTCACCACCACAAGGGGTGACATATTATTATAGTCTCTAACGTTTTTGTGGATGGTGTTCGGCAGTTGGTGTCCTGCACATGGTATCTGTAACAAATGGCAGGTGGTGACATTTTTTGTGTTAATGCCTTGTCTAGCTTTTACAACTCTCAACCATAATCTTTATTCTTGGCCATCTTGTTAGAAGAGGGACCAGGTAGCACAAAGACATGGTGCAATCTTCATTTTCATCTCTATTTTAGTCTCACTTTCGACAGAAACAAATCATATCCTCTTTTGTTGAACCAAATGAGCTTAGATGTACTCATTGGCTTGAGGTTGCAGGTTACAATGGTTTCATATTTGCTTTAAAAAATTGGCTGTTTTGCTATAAATTGTACCAATGACATACTTCAATAGGTAGTATGATTTAAAGTAACCAGATGGTTCAGATGGTTTGAACAAAAATTGTTTAACACATATGGATATTGTGAGTGAAATTTGAAGTAGAAGATCATTAATTATATCTTGTTTTTATTACTTGTGACAATGAGCAATATCTTTTGGGTATATATCTACTATGTAGAACAGTCAGGCCCATGGCTGGAATTTTCCAGGGATTCTCTGGAAACAGTAAAGATAAGGTCTTGGGTTCATTTCACAAAAAATCTAAGGAGCAGAAAAGACACAAATTGAAAACTAGATTTCACAGGGAGGGGAGGGGGTTGCAATGACTGTATGAACCTGAAGTACATGTATGTTCATTTTGATGAGTAGTTAAAGTACATTCCATAGTTTGTTAATCCTTTGAACATATCAATTCCTCAAACACAATTCCATTCTGATGAATTACAACCACAAGTAGAATCAGAGATTTTAGTACTCGGTTGATTGTTAACTTAACTAACACATTTTCCTGAAACAAACATGTAGCCAAACTCCTGAATATTCTTATATAAAATTATATATAAATTATATTTGGTTTTCTGAGGTTGACCATTTTAGGTATGCAAGGCATAATAGTCTTCCACAGAGTTGATTACGTGTGTATCCTCTATGTTACGTATCTGCTTAATGTGACATGTTAGTTAAGCTACCACAAATGTTTTACACATAAATTTCTAACAATAAACAACATTTTTGTACTTTTATGCACTGTTATATTTCTTATATATAATTTTTTTATTATAATTATGGATGAAACAAGTTGTATTGTAAACAAGTTGCTCAACTAATTGCCCCATAAAGATGTTCTGAAACTGAAAATAGTGTCCCATAGTACAGGGTTAGCCAAAGAAGGTAACCCAAATAAACGATAATAACTCGGTCATCCAGCATGGGTTTAAATGTCATATTTGGAACAATTGACCCTTATTCAATTGTTCAATGTTCTTCCATTCTACCAAGATTCATTGGTCTGTTCCAAAAAGACACAATTTTGTCTTCATTTTACAAAGCATGTACAAAACGCCGGTCTAATCTCTGGAAGCAAACTTGAATGTATCAGGTGAAGTTGTTCTGAGTGACTCTGATGCTTTTAGAGTTATTTGTGTAGGAATTATCCTTGAAATAGCCCAGAATTTAAAATTCTAGGGGTTCATATTGGGTGATTTTGGCATGTGGAGCATGTTTTGTAAAATGGCCATATAATCATGACTATTTGGAATGGACCAGTGAAACTTAATGGAATGAAAGAACAGTAAACAAGGATCAATTGTGCCAAATATTAATAAAAAGTTAAACCCATATTGTTTGTTTTTTTTCTTTTGGCTCACCCTGTAGTATATGCTTCTTGAATAAGTCTTTCGATCCTAGGCATGTCCTTGATTATAAACCATTCTACTCTAATAGTGAACACTATTTGAAACTGCATGTATCTTTCGTATTCAACAAGAGTTCCCGATTACATGGACGCCAATGGGACATCAAACATCAATGACTAGATCAATATATACAAATATTGTTGAAAAACATTAATATTTATATTTTAGAAGGACCCCTTTCTCTAAAAGATGAAATTGATTTTTGAAAATTAAATCAACCTCTTTTAAAAATCTATATATTTTTACACAATGGACCTTTTCATGATTTCGTTTGTGGAGAATGGAGATACCTTCGGACATCGATATGTTGATCTTGTCCCTTTTGTTGATGTCAAATTGGCACCTAAGATAACTTTGATAGCCTATATAAGAGCACTTTAATAGTTCTGAAATTAACGCTTAGTCAAACAATGTTGGAATTGATTTTAGGGTAAGGGCATCCTCCGATCACAGGACTTCAAAATCCAGAATACTATATACAAGGGCCGATCAAAAAGTTTCTTACCGCTGGCTCTCAATTTTATAATAAGAGGAGTTGGAAGCTCAAACTTTAACATGAGACAGGATACAGTAGTTAGTTTGCTTGAAACTGTACGAGTTTCAACGAAAGAATCCGTACCTCCTCTTATAAAATTGAGAGCCAACGGTAAGAAACTTTTTGATCGGCCTGCTGAGGAGGATTGGGTTATGGGAAATGAATTTGCCCTTGACTTATTTGGAATATATTGACAATAGTTATTGATCTAACCTTTTCCAAAAAAATGTCACAGAAATAAGATATCAGTATTTGTATATGTACATTCGTGTATGTCTCAGTTTGACCTTTTTAGTGAATATACTCAAACGTATTCCTCAAGTGGGCCATTCGAAATGATGGAATACATCGAGCCTGTTACGTTCCCCCAGCTGAGACACGTGAAACTCTGGAGACCCCCAGTTTTCAATTTATGTAACCAGATCTACACCGTGGCCCCTGTGTTGTTGCCTGGTCCCCCGTATCCCAATGACAACACGGATTCAACAGAGTCTCGGGGTAACGCCACAAACAATGAATATCTAGACACCCAAAGTAAAGGCGACGCTTCATTGATTATTAATGCGACCAAGTCACCCAATGAGGATAGCAGTTGTGAGGAGTCACTAAATGAGGACCCATATTCTATTGTGGAAGAGTCTAAGTCACTAGACGAGGACAACAGTTCTCTGTATAAGAAGTCAGTAAATGAAGACACGTATACCAAGTCGCAACACGAAGAAGAAAGTTCACAAATTGATGACCCTATATTCCTAATTGAGGACAGCTCTGAAATCAATGACACTTCTTCATTACATAAAGACAATGGCTCCATATTTGATGACTCTGAGTCTCTTAAGGAAGAAAGTACGTCTGATGTTGAGAAAGACAAAGCACTAAGTGAGAACACATGCAACTCTTCACCACTTAACGCATGTAAGGATGTACACAACTCTATCTCAGTTGTTGAGCTGAAAGATGACAATAATTGTAGTGACTCCAGTTCTGTTATTGCAACGTCACTAATTGATGATGATACCTCCGTAATTGATGAGTCACTAAATGAGACTAATAACTCTGTGAGTGATATCTCTAAATCACTAAACAAGGACAAAAAATCTGTTATGTGCCAGAATGAGGTACCAGTTAAGAAATATAGCTCTATTCTTAACAAATCTCTTAACGACGATTCAATGATTGAAACAAGTAATACAGTAAATGAGGAAGGTTGTTATGTACTCGATTCCACACCATCCAATAACAGCGACTCTAAAACTACTGAATCATTAGGTGAAGAAATTCAATGTTTAATGATTGACCAAGATGAGTCCCTCAATGAAGATTCCAAGCTTGAAACAATACACTCTCTAGAAACATTCATTCTAGACGATGGAGATTCGATACCCACAGGGCATGTAGAAGAAATGATAGAATATGACTTCTCACAAAATATTGACTCTAGTTGCCCTGATGACCCAGGTATTGATGCGTCCAATGAAAATGACAGCCAAACGGAGAATTCAATCAATTTCTCGTTGGATCAAATTACAAGTACTGAAAGTGGTTCTAAAGAAGAAAAAGATCATATTAAAATATACATATCAAACCCCCAAGAAGAAAATATTGATGGGACGCAAATACCGAACCCATTAGAAAAGAAACTTGGAAAGATCCAAACATTCAAATCGAATCCGTTGATTCCAGATGTTACTCCTATCGCTCTGCATCCCTTTATGTCTGAACAAATTAGATTCGGTTCATGTTGTCCCATGCTCCCTTGTAAAGTGGTCGAAAGACTAAGTACCCCTGATATCGTCGACTCCCTTCCACGAGTCCTACGTGAGGGTCAAGCGACATCCCTCCAGCCGTGGTCGATTAAGAGCAGCACGCCGTTGCTGGAAGAATCGAGATCGGTAATGAATGATTTCCCAAACTATCACGGGAACAAACCTACACAGGAATTGCTCAATGCTTCAAGCCTTTGCCCTAGTAGCGATTGCGTGCCATATAATCATACTCACAGAGAAAATGCCCTATGTGACGAGGCCACTGTAGAAGCAACACAAAGCGTTCTTTATCAAACAGCTGCAGATACTGCTAGCGTGTATCATACGCCTTATGAAACAGCTGCCGTTTGTACCGCAGATAAACTGAGCATTGCGGATGATAGCTATGCTAACCATGATGACTTCCAATGTGATGGTATTGAGCAGAGTGTTGATGAAGATAATGAAAGCACATATGGAAGGTCCAGGTAAGAGTATCTAGACAAACGGTGATGAAAATCAAAAATTAACATATTTGTTACTGTTGTCCCAACCCGTTTTCGATATTTGTGCAGTTGAAGTCAATAATTTAAGGAGACATTTTGCAATTGTTGTTGGACACGACCTTGTATGTGTTATTGATTATTTTACACACTGTTCTATATGTGAAATACTGTGTTAGGATTGGCTGGATTCGGATACACCTTGCCTAGCTATCATTTAATAATGCAATTGTCGACCGACCAGGTCCATGCTTCGAATACCCTAAATGTCCATCATATATTTCATATGGTAGATGAACCTGTTAATCAAAATACAGTCCTTCTTTTCAGATCACTCTCAGAGAAGACATTGACAGAGTTAAGACTGGATTCTCCAGTGCTCTCCCCTGCCCAACAACACGCGTGTCTGCTGAAACGGCGCCAACAAGTAGACGCTTACAGAAAACTGAACACGCATCAACCGTCCTTTAGGTATCCAAGGAGGCATTCCGAGACGCCAGGACAAGGAGTTAACTGGTCAGAAAGATTGGTTCAAATGACCATCTATGATGAGAATGTTTGGTGTGATCCTCTGGATGATACGTTGGAGTTATAACGTTGTTGTCGACATAGTATAACTATCACAATTGATGACAAATTAGAACTAAAGTACATTCGAACTATGATCCCATCTTCGCCATATTAGAATTAGCTACAACAACAAGACACCCTGGGACTTAATCCATTGATTCGGACTACGATCTTTGATCGCACTGGTGACGCATTAGAACTAAATTACATTCGAAATATTATCCCGTCCTATAGATATAACAACTAGCTATGAGACAACAACACACCCTGGGACAATTACCATTGATACTATTGATTCGGACTTCGATCTATGATCGAATTGGTGACGCATCGGAACTACATAGTATTTATTGTCCGTCCCATGGATGCCATATTAAAACTATGATCCAGTTGATAACAAGCTCATTGGTGACACTTTAGAACCATGACCATTCGAACAATTATTCTATTGATGAGACTTTCGGCGATATCTGTAACATGTATTTATGATACATAATATGGATGTGGATGACACAAGAACTATTTGCACGGCACATTAGAACCATTATCCGTGTCATTGCACGATACATTCGACATTTTCGGATGGTACATTTGATGTGATAAATCAGATTATTCTACATTATTGGCATGAGAATAATGATATTTTGGTCAACACGTTAAGACTTTACAGACGATTTGAGATTGACTTTTTGAACCTTTGTCACAGTTTTCAATATTTTTGCCTATGAGAGTACACGCCATCCTATTTTTTATTAAGTCCAAAAGTTCTCGATGTCTTCTATATTTGATTAACTCAATTTATAAAATAGAATTGTAAGGAAAACACTGACATTGTTTTGAAAAGATTGCTTTATAATTTTACACCCTATTATTTACATGCACATCTACTATTGATATATGTCATGCTATGAAATAAAGATCTGTTCATGAATGATAAATAACTGATTTCATTATGATTTACTCGGCTTTAAAAGGGTACTTCGTGGTACAGTGAGTTTGCTCGGTGGTATTTATGTGCCAAAAGACCTATATCACCAAAACAATTATGGAGGAAGAAGATGAAACAATATGGTAATAAAGCACAGAATAAGTAAGAAATCTTGTTCTGAGGACTGAATGACAGGGGGGGGGGCTTTTTAAAGAATTCCGTGGGGGGGGGGGGTTCACGTATGATAACTTTGGCCCAAAATCACTTGAAAAGTGCCGAATGGTAAAAACTGCATAATTTTGAAAAAACTTTTTATGGCCAAGAATGGCTGAGTTTGAAACCGATATGAAGATGGCAGTTGCCAAGTTCATAGTATAACTATTTAACCAGGTGAACTGCCCTGCCATCTATCATCCGAAACACACGATATTCACTCATAAGAGTTAGCAAAGTCAAAGAGTAGAAGACACCCTTGACATAGGAGACTGTCGAAATTCCTAGCGTTAAAAATTTAATTGGTGGAGGGGTTTCCTCATTTCCCCAAATTTCAAATCATTATAGTATTAGACGATCGCGCATGTGAAATTGCTACCGTCGCTGTAGGGAAATTAGGGAGTTTAAGCTTGCGATGTTTTTCACAACCTAAACGTGAACAGAAAATATTTAAGCGATGCATTTGTATGGGTGATTGGTCATACGTATAGGTTGGCGTTTCGATTTTATATGCAAGCTTAAACTCCCTATTATTTTAAATGGTATATAACATCCTTCAAGATCGCCCAAGGATGGATATTTAATGCATGATTAACTTCTCTTAATTATAGCATGGACTTACTCTCTCATTCCTGAAATGCTACATTTGATGTTTTGGTGAGCGTTCTGATTGAACTGAGGTCAATATGACATTTTTATGTCCATCATTTTAAATATCACAGACCTGTGCAAGTTAATATTGTACAAATATTTCACTCTACTTTCGGTGAATACCTGTGATGAATACCCAAGATGATATTCCATTAGCCCTCCGGGTTTCGTGGAATATCACTTGTGAAAGATGCACTGGTATTCACCTCAGTAGAGTGAAATATTTGTTCAATATTGCACAAAATGAGTTTAACATTTCCATGTATATTGGATATATTGTTTAACTATCCACGTTTTTTCATGATTCTAAAAACTGTACGAGACTTTAAAAAAAATGTTGACACTAAAAAGCGTTATTGTTTTTTAATTTTCAAATTTCTGAATTTCTTACCATTTTAGCAACAGAAATTTTCAGATCATCGAATACAGTACAAAATGCACTATAAAACATATTGTTTTAAATTGTAAGACCACACTACAAGCTTAAAGTGGTTTAAACTTTACATGGCGCCTTTAGGTACACGAGCTGGTTACAAATGAATACAAACACACCCGTTGTCACTCCCACCCCAACCAGTTTGATGTTCATATTCGAAGGTCAATTATCTCTTCGAGAGCCTATAAGTGGATTTAAATATACGATATTTGATAATAAGTGCATACATAACAATAGCAGTTGAGATAACTTCATAAAGCCAAACACCAACACCAACAAAGTTACAAGCCCAACGAACAATCCTTCAAGGTCCACCACAAGTTCATAACTTAATTTCTTTGCAATACTGGAATTGGGTCAGACAGAAGCTGGATAAGTAGTGTGCAGCAGTGACTTTATTTCCAATAACAGTAGCGGAAATAACTTCTTTAATAATATAATTTCAATTTTGAATGGGAGTTTTCATGGATGTTATGCTGTAATTTTACATGAAGATGCAGTGTAAGTGATATACTCATAAGGGTACATAGATACATGTACATATCGATTATTGCGTTGTTGATTTTATCATGGAACTCATTAGGATAGGGATAGAGGAACGTGCTTTTATAGAACAATTCATCCATGGTGGCAACTAAATACTTAATTTAAGTCTAATTTGGCCAGAATAGTGACTGTTATATCAGAAAATATGAATTTTGATTAAATCATTGTATATCTTTCATCTTATTTATTGGACACCCTGCATTTGTTGTTCTACAAATATTCATCAAATTCATTTCAATGTGGCTTGCTCTATTGACCCGAACTATTTGGTTTGAGACTCTTATTGACTTAACATTGAGTGTACTGCAGACATGAATATAGCATGGAGCAGAACTGACTATACAAAATTTTAATAGTTTTTCACTGATGTAATGTCAGAATGAACCCTTATATTTATTATTTAGAATAGTATAATCATTGTCCAAATGTGTCAGGAATGTTTCCTTGTATTGAAATGAATGTAAATGCACCTTAATAGAGTGAAAAATCATTTATCAAAAGTTTTCTGGTAATACAAACACCACACTCATATAGAATGCAAAATTTGGAATACATTTAATAATAAACTGTTCTGTTTATGAATAGTTTTTTAGATTTACTTATTTAAAAAAGTTTAACTAAAACTATAAAGGCCTATTTTTAAATATTTGTACTCAACTTGTTCCCACCCACTGCTCATATTCAAATGTCGATATCGAAAATGATCGAACGTTACTGCCGTTGTAGTTGCTGCCAATAAACATAGTTTTCCAATGTCAATAATATTTGAACTTAATGTATTATATCTACATGTACAGTATATACATCTAATTACCATGCAGTTTTATCATTTTGGAGAATTTTAAACATTTCCTATATTTTTGTACTTCACAAAGGATTGGTATCGATATTTTGAACTGAATTCAACAATGTTTTTCTCTTATACCAATTATTGAAAACATTCTGTAAAAACACTGTCCTTTATGTAATTATGCCTGATTTGGAACAGTTTAATGCGAAAATTATTTATATATATTTTATAAAACTGTTTTTGTTAAAATATTTTGTCTTTTGGTGCAATTGTTTTTGTTCCTTCTTACCAATTCTTGAGAATGAAATAAAATATCTTTCCGAATTGAAGCTTGTTGAAACAAAATAGCATATACAACATTTTCTTAGACCTCTCAATAACTATTATAGTTATGCAAAGGAAATTTTGGTCGATTTAACAAAAATATTTACAGAATTAAAACAACAAAAAATAGATAAAGAATTAAGATAACAACTGGTAACTGGTTTAAGAGAATCGTGTGTTCAAAAAGTTCACCATATCGATACCCATCCTTTGTCGTATTTTTGGGAGATACTTTATTTGAAATCGTAAGGAATAGACAGGTAGATCAATTTTACATGCTGCTTGCAATTTTATCACCTCGTAGATCTGATTCTGCATTTAATAATGCATATTTTTCTTGTTTCGTCAATAATAGTTTTGGACGAACTGTCCGACTCAGATTCATTTATCCAGATCTAAACTGTTGAGATATTATCCATTCATGCAATAGGGGATATGGCGTGTAACTTATGCCAACATGTATATACATGTACAAAAGTTTTCGATTGAAAAGGCATGGATAACTTTGCAAGTATCGTTTCTTACAAACTGACGGACGATAAGCTTCACTATATTCAAAACTGATCATTTATTCCGCTGTCATCTTAACTGGAGTATATGCATACATATAACATGCTACTTAATATTCACTGACATCTTTGAGTTATTGTACATACATACGATAGGGTACATGAAAATTTACTTTCTACATTTCATACATCTCGCTTGTTCGTACATGATATTAAGTACAAGACATTGACGAATAAAACATACGTTTGACATTGTATTAAACAATCAAGGGTTAATGTTTTGTTTGACCCGAATGCTTAATCAACTCGGAGGTACAAGGAAACATGTTTAGTCCGAACTTCATCAGGATCGGTGTAATAGCGACCCAGATAGTATTGTCCGAGCTCCTCAAATAAATGGCCGAGTAAAAGAGATTTGTTGTGAGTTTCCAGTGACATATGCCAAAAGAGATCGGATGAGCTCTGCTCACAAAACAAGGATGGGCATTTGACCGAAAATTGTAAGAGTAAGAGAGGTGTTTGTATTCACGGGTTTTACTGTCCTTTACAATTATAAAAGTCTCTACTATCAGGCTCGAGTGGTTGACGGGTCTCATTGTGCGTTTCAAGTGTAGGAATAAGTGAAATTGCATCTATAAAAGTGGGAACAGAGAGACCTTAGTCTCTGCGAACAGACCTCCTGGTGAAAAGTAAGAGGATTTAGAATATAGAGCGGCAATAGATGAATGTGTCTCTGTGATTAGACCTTCTGTAAAAACGGATTTACTAAATATGCGTTTGGGATATTGAATGAAAAAAAACCAAAAGTAATACATTTTTGTTCAGCATTTTGAATATCAAAAAACAATAACGTACACTACCCTGCGCGCAGAGTCACGAAAGACGAAGATCTATTTTAAGTAGTGAAGTTGAACGAATGCAAAGGCTAAACGCTAAACGCACACTTACCGAAATAGGAAACTCAAAGACTTCCTGAATAGAGATGAAGTAAACGTAAAATCTATAAAAATTGGGTAAGTGAATATACATTTATATACTATTTGCTCATTAGGTCAGTGCCAATTCATAATCCTAAAATACCCCTCCCCCTGAAATACCCCAATATTAAAAAAACTCATAACTGTCTGCAATTGGCACCATCTTTAAAATGAAACACACATCTTTTTTCTGGAAATATTGAAGCATTATATCTCAAAGTCTTGTATTATTAGGGGGTCAGATATTAGCACTGAACCACGAGTTTTTAAGTCACCACCAGAAGTGATGCGAATTGTTATAGCCCTTTTTGCGTGATCTGTGCTCGGCGGTCGGCGGTAGGCGTTCGGTGTTTGTTGCAAATTCTTACAATTGCACCAATAAGAGGACTTGTAACATTCTGTAACTGTTTACAATGATATAAAAAGTAGTGTTCACATGGCCTGACTTTGAATTTAAATAAATGTAAGCAAAGTACGAGGGGTGATTCAAAAGTAATGGACAAAATTTTATAGGCATACTAAATTTCACCCAATCAGTCTAATTTTTTCACAGTGAATAGATCAATCAATTCTCTACTTTGTGTCGAATTCTCATTTAAATGCATTTGAAATTGTTTCAGCTATGCGTAACCATGGTAACAAGGGTAAGCATGGGTGGAATTGGTTTTTTGATGATAATTGAATGTTTTTGTCATTTTTGCTTGATTTCGTTTTAATGACTCAATTACCACACATGATATGTCTAACAAGCTTGGTAATGCAATTGTCAAGCAAGACTCACATGCCCATGTGTTTGCTGTTGAGTTCTAAATTCAGCAACCAATTGTGCTATGACATCACAATGATATTTCTAAGAATGATGAGTCACAGTGAGTCAGAAAGTAGATCAGACTCTTAGACTCACACACATCCAAGAAATGTCTACTTAACAACAAATCAAAGTTAAGCAAAGGATTGTTATTGAATATTTGGTAGCTACTGGAGAGACAAGGCAGGCAGTTGTCAAGAAAATAAAAGAGACACATGGAGAAAAGGCCTTGTCAAGGCAAGCCATTGAGCGATGGTACAAACACTTTAGTGAAGGGGATACAAGAGTCTTAGATCTAAAGCGATCTGGAAGGCCCAAGACTGGCCGCACTGATAACACTATTCACCACGTAGAGTCCATCCTAAATGCAGACAGGAGATTGACACTGAGAGAAATAAGTTCCATTACAGATGTGTCCTACTCTACAGTACAAAGGAGTGTAAAATGCAACCTAAATATGAAAAGGGTGTGTGCCAAGTGGATTCCTAAGCTTTTTACCGAAGAACAAAAGCAACAACGTGTCGAAGTTGCGCAGGATTTTCTGAAGCAATACAACATTGAAGGAGAAGGATTCCTAAAGCGTATAATCATTAATCACTACTGACGAATCATGGCTATACTTTAGAGATCCAGAAACTAAACTACAATCTACACAGTATATCAAAAAGGGTGAGCGGCGCCCAACAAAGGCTAGGCAAAGCAGATCCTCTGACAAAGTGATGATTGTTCCCTTCTTCGATTATGATGGCGTGATCCTGACCCACTATGTTCCTCCTCATCAGACTATCACAGGGAAATACTTCACCAAGGTAAACATGATATTTTCATCCGTTTTAATCATTGTCAATTTAAAAGGAGAGAATGAAGTCATAATAGCTTTAAGCAAGATTAATAATTTGAAAATAGAATAATAAATAAATGAATGAATAAATAAATAAATAATGATATTTCACTTTCAGGTTCTAAAATGCAATCTTGGACAGGCACTTCAAAAGAAAAGGAAAGACACAAGAGACAATCGTTTGTTACACATGGACAATGCCCCAGCACACAGGTCAAAGCTAGTTCAGGATACTCTTGCAGCATTCATGGACATGCCTCAACTTCCACATGCTCTATATAGCCCTGATACTGCTCCTTGTGATTTCTATCTTTTTCCCACCCTTAAGATGGCATTAAAGGGACAATCCTTTCAGACATTAGCTGAGCTGCAAATGGCTGTACAAAAACAGCTGAACACCATGGCTGCTGATGGATTTGGGCATGTGTTCTCTGCATGGGTGCGCCGACAGAAGAAAGTAATTGAACTTGGAGGAGAATACATTGAGGATTGAATATAATTCAAATGGATGATCATCAGGAATAATAAGGAATGATATGGATTATTATTGACTTACTGCGATATGCTTTTCATATACATCTTATTGCACCAGCAAACTTTTCATTGAAAATCCATTTGTTATTATGATGAAAATAGCCTTAAAAATGGATTCCGGGTGTATGCACCATGATCCAAGATAAGTGCTCTATCTCAAAATGTATTTGCATTTAGTTAATAAAATTTTAACATCTAATAGATAATTGATTAATCTTTATTTGTACAAAGTTTCATTCAAATCTGGTAAAGGTAAGCGTGCCTATAAAATTTTGTCCATTACTTTTGAATCACCCCTCGTATAACAGAAGTTAAAGACTGTGTTATCATATCAACAAATATTGATAATAAGGAATGTTTACTTTCACTTGAAATTCATGTCATAGAGACGTTTTACTTTATTTTAGGACATTGCCACATTTAAGACAATATCTGTGACATTTTGTCATGTCAATACCTTATTTGTAATAGGTAACTGATGTTTTTTAGTTAGTGAACAAATATATCATTGTCGATATGCCAAACTGTCTACCCAGTTAAAGCACAAATACTTACGCCATTTTTCATTTGAACTAATGTGGAATAACATCCTTAAAATCCAATTACCATGGAAACGTGCAGTGTGTCTAAATGCATCTAGTTATTTAAAGTCACAAGTTATATGGCATTAACTTTTTATTTTGACTAGATTCACCCATCGTCCTCAACATTAGCTATCAACTAAGCCACAACACAAGACGAACACCTAGAGCAACGTGAGAAAGGATTCTCGAGCTCACCAGTGTTATTGATAAATCGACGGTAGCATCTGACCACAGAGAGGGGCTTGCACAGAAGAATGACCGACGGCGAGGGAATAGGCACGGGGCGGCCTACGGGCTTGACCCACTGGGCAGATATTCTCACCATCATCGTGTACTTTGTGTCTGTCATGGCTGTTGCAATATGGGTAAGAATTAGTTACATCTATTTTCCAATGAGTTGCTTTTTATACTTCAAAATGTTCAAATTAATTACACTTTTCAAAACAACATGCGAACGTGGAACATGAAAACGTTGAACATGAAATAGAAAATTATCTTTGTGACAAAAAATGAGACATAAGATCAGCTCAGCTAAACCCCTTTTAAATTGAAGTGAAAATAGCGTACCTTGTTTTACAGCTTTTGAAAATAATTAAAATGATATTAAGCCTTGTAAACTCTTGATTTTTTCACACTAAGTAAAACATGTTATGTGATTTAAGCGTTGTCAGTTGTCAGATTTTAAATATAAGGTTTAGCAGATCTTTAAACGAATATTTCTCTATGTGTATAGCTCAACAATTACAAATACAACTACAGAACTTTTCAGAAAATGGCAATGTGTACATACAGGTACGCTGAACAATCAAAAATAATGTAAATAAAAATCATAAAATTCTATTTTATTTTCTTGATTAGTATTTTTCTGTTGAATATACAAATATAATGAAATATTTGAAGGCATGCCAAATGTAACGAGTGTTTCAATACAATGGAACACATGATTTTGATCTAATATGTCATTTTGATGAGACCACAGTGGCATTAAAAAAAGAAAATTTGGTTGATAAAAAAGCGAGAAATGAACCCATCCATCCATAAAAATTGTCCAGAGAAAAATGCATTAAAATTTTTTATTCTCATAGAAACCACTGGTTCAGTAATATGATAATAACATTTAAAGCATAATATATTGTTCTTTTTAACCAAGTTGGACAATCAGCATTGGTTTATTTTGTAAGTTCAACATATTTAGAAAATATTGCAACTCTAGCCATACACTTGCCATACACTTGCCACATTGTCCGACTTTGCTCGTTTGTCTGTTTTGACTGAGATTGTCCGCCATTGTCAGTGGTTTTCCTACGGACAACCTCGGACAATGTCCGAGGTTGTCCTATTTTGTCCGATGACAGGGGGCAAAATTATTTTAAGTGGCACGATTAGATATAACATTCTATTATTGAAAAAGTATGTCCTTTGTTCAATCTCCGTAATGGTGTTAAAAATATGATATGCTTTACACTGTATAGTTCTCATCTGTTTTTGAAGTTCTGTTTAGGTAACAAAAGTGAGGTTGTCTTCTGAACTATTTGTTCGCAAACGTGTACATTTTGATACACGTGTAACATATGATACTGGCATGCGTTTGTGATAAATATGTCGTAGGAATTCTACCTAAAACGCGTAAAATAAGGAAAAAAGAACTCAATAGATGCACTGTAAGATGGTAGTTCACCAATTTTCTCGAGTGGGTTGTCCTTCACGAGTCTCGTTGGTTTATGTGAAAATATTTCTTTATGAAAATTTATATTCCACATGAATATCACATTTTCTTGCCTTAATCATTAACTAAAATGTTAAAAGTTTTAATTTCACAATGTTTTGAATATTTTCATTGAAATTCAATTTTGTAGAATTTTAAAGTATTTTTTTACATGTTGAAGTCTGAAACCCACTGAATTCTTCGCCATCTATACACTTACATGTTGAAGTCATTGCATGTTTTTTTTGGATTTGGGCGAGACACACATACATTATTTTCCATACCCCATATATACATCCTTCATTCAAAGGCCTTCATTATATCATTTCAGTCACTCTGCAGGCCTACAAGAAAAAGCGTAAGAGGCTACTTCCTTGCAGGGAGAGACATGACTTGGTGGCCAGTAAGTAAGAGCTTTGCCAAATTAAAGTGTCGACCAGAGAATGCATAAGCTGGAAGTAATTTTGAAATGCCAATTTTATGAAATATCAAATAAAGAAGAACCTCAATGAAAATAAATCTAAATAAAAAATAAATGTTTTTGTGTACTTTTATAACTAGGCCATTTAAATCCTCTTCAATCAGTCAAATATTATTGATTGCTTTGGATTGTACGAAGCATGGGCATTCAATAGAAAGCCCATGTACAAAGTCATCATCAAGGATGGTTATTTTGTCATTTTTCAAGTTCAAGTCAACAAAAACAACAGCACTAAAGAACCAACGTATGCAAAGTAACCAGAAATACGTATAAACATGAAAATACACACCTTTTGAAGTACTAAGTAATTTGAACCATATACGATCAAATCAAATGCTATACAGGGATGATGTGAAAAAGTCAATCCACCTTCTTGGTGGGAATCGAACCCACAACATCCCAAACGTACTTTACATAGTTTCCCGAATATCATGATCATCAGGTCTACCTTTGATTTTGATCTCATTTCTATTAATCGTGGTTCATAGTTTCGACTCAGATACAATCCTATTAGCATATTGGTTATAGCATGGGTAGTTTACAATGTTTATCACTGCCAGTAAGCGCCATTTCAAAGAGACAATTATCATCAGAGGAATATAATTAATTTTACACCGTGTGATGTTCAAGCGATTGTTACTTTAACAGATTGGTATGTCCCTCTTTGCAAGCAATATCGGGAGTGAGCACCTCTTAGGATTGGCGGGGACCGGGTCAGTGTCAGGACTGGCTGTCATCATGTTTGAATGGAATGTAAGTAGACAGGGGATCACTTCAAAAATCACATTTAGGTTAACATTGACAATAAATAAGTAGACTTTACTCTGGATATTTTTCATTTCATAGCTAAACAATGTTTGTCCCAGAACGCTAGGGAAACATATTACACCCCTTACTCAATCTCGAAATGAATCAATGCACATGACAAAATATAATTCCATTTTTTCCAGGCTATCATTTTGCTTCTATTTCTCGGATGGCTGTTTCTCCCTGTGTACATTGTATCTGGGGTAAGAAAATTCAATCATATGTCCATTATCAAAGCGTCAACATGCATGTTTTGCAACATAGCCATAACTTTTCCAGAACCCGATAAATGCCTTTATTTATTACGTCTTAATGTCGAACCACACGTACCAAAGAGGCAACCTGTTGCGCTTACAGTTAATTTTTGCAGAGATGGGCTTCCCTTGCCTTTTGTGCTTTTGGCAATACATTGTAAGCATAGCGCATATCATCCTTCAAGGTCGGTCCTTCAACTGCTTTCATGGCAGATCATGATGTAATGCAATGAATTACTCTTGGGCCAAAGGATTAACGCATATCACTAAATAGCATTGAAAGAAAAATACGGGTATATTCCCCCTAAATCCCTCTATAGGGAATAGAATTTTAGAATATTGTTTTTCTCTATTTCAGATGTACACAATCCCTGAATATCTTTCAAAGAGATTTGGTGGACAAAGACTGAGAATTTACCTCAGTTGCGTATCTTTGATAACCATGCTGTTTACAAACCTTTCGGTTGATTTGTATTCCGGGGCACTTTTCATCCAACAAGCAATAGGGTGGGACCTTTACGTAGGAGTAGCTGTCCTTATATCTATAGCTACTTTCTACACGGTGCTTGGTAAGTTATGAAGGGGTGCAGTTAGAATATAGACGAGACGAATTTAAAAGGTTGAGCAATACTTGAAAAGTACAACGTTTGAGTTTTGGTTTTGAATGAAAAAAGAAAAATCAGATGTCTATCGGCAATTGTCCGCTGTTGAGGCATCAGGTTCAAGCATGATGAAATATTTTTTATTTTTTATTTTAGGTGGTCTGTCTACAGTAATATTGACCGATGCAATCCAAGTGGTGATCATGCTTATCGGAGCCTTGACATTATCCGTTATAGGTAAGGAACGATACTTTCATAGAATTTCTGAACCAGCCCTGTATGACTCGTTTTACATGTGAAGTATACGTATTTTGTTGCAACTAGATATGCATCACAAGGATTTTGGACAAAAAATCAAGCCCAACTATGCCAAATAATAGTAACTTAATCTGACCATAAATAATACATCAGACGCTCACTAAAAATCATATTCATTAAACTCGTTTTCTTTATCTTTCGATCACGTTATCTAATAAACTATATTCAAGGTTTGATAAAGGTTGGTGGGCTTGAAGGCTTGCGACACCAGTATTCACAAGCAATACCGAACGTTACTCGTTTGAATCCAGTCACAAACGCAACATGTGGGCTTCCCAGGGAGGATGCATGGCACATTTTCAGGTATTCTAATTTACCAATCTCCGTGTGATTCGCTCAGTGCAATTGTGCCTTTCTACCTGAAAACGGGACATGAACGTTTTTTCCCTATGTTAAAGTATTTGAGAGAAGGAATAAGGCAGAGACATATAGTGTCCCTGAACAAGGTAACAAAATCAGGCATTTTTATCTTCTTTTATTCGTGTGGTGTACATATATGCCCAATAATGGAAGCGCCCTCTTTAGCTTTACAAAATAGCTTTAGTCTGAAGTAACACAGCAAGCCAGTATTGGAAGAACCCTGTAGCCCTGGCATTAAACCCATCACGAAATAACATTTTGAATCAATGATTGGAACTGTTCCTTGTTGGGCACTCCGAGTGCGCTTAGTCATCGAGGATACTTGTTTCCAACAGTGTCACGGTTTATATCCCTGTTCCTTGTGTTTGTGGCGCGCAATGATGAAGTTGTGTTGACACATTCTAGTTAGATTGCAAGACTGTCCAGATGGATACTGTACTCTACAACAGCCTTTTAGTTTAGACAAACTTGCCATTGCAATGACTCCGGTCCCATAACGTTAGTACTTAACTCAGATCATTTTGCATTTTAGGGATCCATTTAATGCAGATTATCCGTCAATTGGTACGATGATAAGAACAATCATTGGTGGTCTCTGGTACTGGTGCGCAAATCAGGTACAAGCCGTTCATCACATCGTTTTGATGTGATTATTACCTCCGTTAAACAAACTCGGGACATAATGCTTAAATACTAAAATACAAAATTACAAAACTGCATATGTAGATCAAGCTTAAACGGGCATTATCAATTTACTTTGAAACTTTTTTAATTTGCACTCGACATGCCGTCAATATTCGACTAGATCCAAAAATACTCATCCAAATGATGGCACTGATGGAGGCACACCAGAGGTGCGATAAATGGAAATGATAAGAAGTAGACATGTACTCCGTATATCTATTTAGTCATGGATTTCTTTTCCAGCTTATAGTTCAAAGAACACTAGCTGCAAAATCTCTAACTCACGCCAAAGGTGGTACCATTCTGGCGGGTTATCTCAAGTTTCTACCTATTGCTATTATGGTGTTTCCCGGAATGATAAGTCGCACACTTTATCCAGGTTAGGACCCAATAATGGAATTAATGACCTAATAGGTGTCAGGTCACAACCAGATTATACCGTCGTGTTTATATTGAATAACAATTAAAGGATATTGTAAAGCTTGATTATTATGTCGCAAATTATATTTTAAATCCATGAATTTCTAATTGTACATCGAAGTTGAACATGAAGGAAAACAAGTGTATTACAGAACAATCAACGATTACATAATACACAACTCTATTTATGTTTTAAAATGAAAAAGTCTCCAAAAAGCCTATTTATTTGGAAAAATCCCTTTCTATCTTAAACTGTTTTTTTAAATCAAATTTAGACGAAGTTGCATGCGCAGATCCGGACGTCTGTGAAAGGGTTTGTGGGAACCGTGTTGGGTGTAGTAATATAGCGTACCCACGCCTTGTGGTAGGACTACTTCCTCCAGGACTTCGGGGCCTGTTATTGGCCTGTATGTGCTCTGCAGTGGTCAGTTCCTTGACGTCCCTGTTCAATAGTGCAACTACAATTTTCACCATGGACCTATGGAGAAAGATCCGTCCAAAATCATCTGAAGTCGAATTGCTCATTACAGGAAGGTCAGTGAATGAATCAACATACTGATACGAAGCATTGTCTTTTTAATGATTAATCTTTTTGAGAATTGATCGATCAAAGTTTTAAACGTACTTTCTTTAGTTAAATCATCATTTTAGCATGAAACCAGATATCAGTTGAATGCATTTAACATGACAACAAAGTCGAATTAAAACCTAAACTTTCAATTTGTAGTAATATATTGTATACCTGTTGGTAGGTTGTTTGTGGTTGTCATGGTAGTGTTGTCCATACTCCTAATTCCTCTCATGGCATCAGCAGAAGGCGGTCAGGTCTTCAAGTATGCCACAACTATTACAGGGTACCTAGGCTCCCCAACTTGCGCCATGTTTATTCTTGCCATGTTCTGGCCTAGATGTAACGAGAAGGTTAGCATTTATATATGCGTTTAAATTAATTAAATTTAAAATAGATATATGCTTTTTATTATGTCCAATTGAATTTTATAGTTCAGATGAATTGCAGGGTTACCATCTTATTCAAAACCTGTCTACAAATGGCAATATGCATAGATTAATTCACATATACTTTTTTAAAATGTTTAACACAGCTAGTTCTCCGATCTTGACCCCATCGGTACACACATATTATACACTTTCAATTAAATGATGGACAATGTCTCATATAAGTGGGTATTACAAAAGATGACAAGGCATTAACATGCAAAATTTCACCACCTTCCATTTGTTACACACTCCAACCTACCAACACCAACCGGTAAACTCCGAACACCGTCCAGAAAAAAGTTGGAGACAATAACAATATTTCAATGTTTGTGCTGACATGATAAACCAAATAATCTCCATAATTTTCTCCACCAGACCAAATAACCCCTATTTTCAGTACATTCTCTAATTTTAGGGAGCATTTTGGGGGATGATAGTCTCGCAACTTGTAGGCTTAGTGCGGTTCATACTGGACTTTATATACCGCAGTCCAGCCTGCTGGGAGAGAGACGAGAGGCCAGATTTCGTTAGCAAAATTCATCCATATTACTACAATCTGATACAGATCGTCGTGGCGTTCCTGTTGGGAATAGTCATCAGTTTGTTAACAGAACCCATTCCTCGCGAAAAGGTACTCATTAATTAGTATTTAAAGATGACATATGATGTGTCGGCAGTAATTAGTAAAATAGAAAATGAATATGAAATGAGAACACACAAAGGGTGTATTGTAAGCAGTCACTGAAAAATATGATTTGTAATATGTTTGTGGAGATAAGGTATAGACACCAAAAATGTGGTATTGAAATTAATTTCTAATTTCCCACCTTCTTATTCTTGGAGTCTGTCCGTAAAAACTTCTATTCTAATTAGTCTATGTAAACCGAGACCACGGCATTACATTGCGCGGTGAATAGTCAAAACTCTTGACCACCCTTTGACTAGTCAGAATCGATATATAATTAATGTACTTGCATAATCATATGAAGTACGAGTATATGCTTTATTTGTTACATACTTTAGCTCTCCGGATTAACCTTCTGGACTAAAAATGATAGGCCGAAAAAAGGCAACATGAATGTCGGTGTAACAACGGATGACTCGTCCCAGTCTGATGAGGAGACAGCGTCCGAAGAATCTACTGAAACTGAAGACATTAAATGCCAGCTGAAAAATGGTGAAATTACAGAGTATACAATAGCATATGGAAGTACAGATAATACAGATGATGACGATCGTAAAGATATGCAAGTAAAAGTAATTGAAAATGGAACTCGAGGCTCAATATCCAGTAAAGATTGTAAGTTAAAACCAGTTGCATTTTATTCAAGTTTATTATTTTATTGCATTAACACCTAGTACCTACCATGCATTTCATTATATTTAGTATTTATCAATTCTAATGAATCTGACTCTGTTGTAAAACATAGAATGCATATATTACTTTAAATATTTCTTCTGATTGGTACATCATGCCTCTGTGTTAACATTTCTAAATTTCAAAATTCTCATTGCAGGGGAAAAGCCATCACTATGGAAACATTGGTTATCGGAGGTATGTGGAATCGGTGGGAGTGATAATGTCAAACGTCCATCAGCGACCGAGGAATACGAACTGAGAATGAAAATAATTCAAGAAACATCATTCTGGAAAATGTTTATGAATATAAATGCCATCATTATAATGGTTGTTCTCATCTTCCTTTACGGATTTTTCCATTGAATATAATATCATTCAAGTCAATTCGACTTGATCGCTGCACAGTTTTTGTATACGTCTCCTGCAGGAACTTGACGTACATGTGATTTCAGCAGTGCGCATGAATAAACGCATTCCAAACGACACGATTGATATTATGATAAATATAGTGCACAGATTTGATATTTTATTCCGTTTAACAGCTGTATAGTGTATTCTATTATATGATCGACCAGTTTTCAACTTGGTCAGACAATAATTATAAAACCTCTGTAAAAGTAATTTGTAAAAACAAAATGTTACAAATAAAATGTAATTTCTGACTGATCACAATGTTTTATGTTACAGCCGGGATAAAAATTAGTTAGTGAGGTTAATTTTGTCACTTAAAAAATCAAAAATCGGTTAGGTGTACTTCTACTGTACGCGTTAAAATTTTATTTCATCATTGCATAGAATTTTTCCAAAACCGTATTGCACATCCGCAGAACCATCACTTCATGTTTGCATGACGCTATTGAAATACATTAAAAATGTCGTCAAAATGGTGACGAATCTGGTAGAACTACATGTAGCGATACCTTACAATTAATATTAAAACCCTAGTCTCAGGTTTCTGTAGCTTTGAAAGGAGATCTGTTTGTTATCATGAGTTTTGTACCTATAACTTGTTGGCCTGTATCAAACAAAAAACCATATCACTTAGATTTCAGGAATTTCGTACATCATCAGCGAATATTGATTGAAATCCATTGAAAATAGCGCTAGCGTCAAAAAAAGTGTTCTTTGACCGTGTGGCTATGATAGAGGTTCAAGTCAATGCGATCAATTGAGTTACCAAAAGGTGCCATTCAATTTGATTACAAGTATGTTAAAATAAATCACCTTTAGTTGCATCAATAGAGCTTCCCAGTGAACGAATTGTCTACTGTATTTTGTCATATCCTTAAAATTGTTAGTTATGTTGCTTTTTTAAAGAATCCGGTCAATTGATGCTCAAGAGTGTCACTTGTCAACACATTTAGCCCATTTGTCGTGAAATTTGTCAAAAGTCACATTTGGTCACATTTATTGAGGCCATGTCACATATCCCTTGGGAAGATCCTATTCATATGGATCACAAGTCTAGATGTTTTAAAAACGTTAGTCGATTTCAACAATTAAAAGTCATAGCAAAGAACAGTGTAAAGATATTTGAATCATATGATCGAAAATCCCACATGGCAAGATCTCAAGAAGTCCCACGAGGTCCCACGCAATGTTAGGTCTATGGAGGTCCCAACTTGCCCCATTGGTGTATACCGGGCTATGGAGGTCCCAACTTGCCTCATTGGTGTATACCAGGCTTAGTCAAAATTGTGACGTTGAAATGACGGCATTGTTCTTTCTTTTTACTTTTTTCAACGTTTATATGGAGATCAATTTTATCTCTGAAAAGATGTGCATTTTCTCTTTTTCTTCTTTTTTATCTCATCATTTACTATAATATAATATCATATAATATAATATTATACTCATATTATAATGAGTACAAATAAATATGAATACAACCGTACAAAACAACTATTCAAATTACAATCAATCAAAAATACAGGCATATTGTATTAAAAGTTTTTGACTAAATTTTTAATCCACAAAACCTCTCTGAAAATATCATCACTTTTAATTTTATCATTTCTTAAATATCCTTCACATGTATTGAATGAGCAAAATATGTCCTTAAAAAAAGGTGTTAGTATGTTTATACCATTTATTGATTGTTTGTCAAAGATGCAGTTCAGACGAAGTTTCTAATTTCAAACCTGTTTCCTTTATAAGGTATGACGGAAAAGGTTTCCATGCTGTTTTGCTAGTTAGTATTCGATTTATATAGACTGAAGACTTTGTATTCTAAGCTTAAAATCGTCTATGTTTAATCCCCTATCTGCTATTGCTCCAATTATTGAATTTCTTTTTTACTTTCTTTCCCATTCCATAAAAGTCGAAAAGCATTTTCTCTATTTGTTTAATGCTTAACTCCTAAATTCCCATAGCTGTAAAATTTGTATACAAGCTTTGATATTGCTAGGGAATTAATAATTTGAGCTTTTCCAAAATATGTTAATTTTCTCATTTCGCCAGTATTTGTAATAATTGTTTTAGGTCTCTTAGTCTTGATTCCAAGTTTAAAGGCAGAATCAGATCTATACGGGGTGACAAAATTACATGCAACGTGCATAATTAACCTACCAATCTATTCCTTACAATATCAAATACAATATCTCCCAAAAGATTCACAAGTAAATGTTATAAATTGGTGAAGTTATTAATGATTCAAAGTACAAAAATGGGTGAAAAATGTTTAAATTCTCCCAAATAATAAGAATGGTAACCATTCTTATAGAAAAATAACACATTATTGTAAAAATCTTTCGTTTTCCTTGAATAAAGTATGCACTTTTGTGATTTTTAGAAAATAGACATGGCAAGGAATGACATGAGCCAAAAATATTTTAAAATTGAAACAATTTTTTGTTTAGTCTGCTCGCTATCTCTGATTCTCTCTTTAAATAATGACATTTTTGTTTACTCTATGGCGGATCCGAGGGGGGGGGGCCATGGGGCCCGGCCCCCCCCCTAAGGTTGGCCCAGAAAAAAAAAGTTGGGCCCAAAAAAATTTTAGGCCTAAAAAGCCCCAAAAAGTGGGCCTTTTGGTCATTATTGGGCCTTCTAAGGCCTTATTTTTATAATTTTAGGCCAAATTTTGAAGAAAATGGGCCTCAAATTTCCAAAATTTGGGCCCACTTTTCGGTTTTAGGGGCCCACAATTTTTTTTCGCGCAAGCGCGGAGGTTTATTCTCTGATCTCAAATTTGGGCCTCCCCCTGTTGGTTCCTGGATCCGCCACTGTTACTGGCCTCAATTGTGAATTCCAAGGCATTTTATAGGTGTATTACTGAAAAATATTTCTTCAATGTATTCGTCCTTTGAATCCTGAAGAGAGTCCGGCTCCAGTTACATTCCTTTAGTTTTATCAATGTTCACTTCTAGGCCTAAGCCCACTAACCCTTGATTCTCTAGTGCAACTTTAAGCCAGAGATTCTTTATTTGATAAAATCAAAGTTGTATCGTCTGTGTGTTGTATTATTCTGATATTTTTATTCTCTATTTCTACACCATGTATCATCATTTTTAATAACCCAGATGCGAGTAGAAATAATCTTGATTTACGTCATTCAAAATTCAAAATTCAGTCAAAGTCAGGGGTACAATTACTCCCGGGAAATCCTTCGACCACCATGTTGCCCACATGACACAACCCTCAAGTTTGATGCCCGATCATTTTTTCAATTTTTTATTTTTGCGCAAAATTCGTTTTGCACCTTCATTCCAAGATACCCGGGTTTAGCGCGCGCGTACTATAACGTCACTATAGCAACGTTTTGACCTTGAACTAACAGGATAGAGGAACGCGCTGCAGTGTCTGAACGGGTCACGACAATGCAGCCTTTTTGCACGTTTCATGGACAATCTTCGGTATTATTAAGGATATACCAGTGTAACCCTTACGACAATGGTGATATATTTTTAAATTACAGAAATAGAAAATTAACACCTCTATGAAAAGCTCGTTTGTTAACTTCACGTTTGACGAGTGTTCTGTATTAAATATCAAGAACGCAGAATGACGATATATGACGCTTTACGACATAGTAATCCATAGCAACTAAAAGATTCTCATTTTCAATGTTGTTTTATCATGACGTCATATAACACCTTTGTTAATGGGTTCTCGGAATAAAATACCATTATCTGTGACGTCAGTGACATATTGCCCGATCAACAAATAAACAAACAAATGAACTATACGTCATCAATTCTTCCAAATATTTCAGTAATTTTTTGTATATTTTTGTTTCATTCCAGTTTCGTGTCTGTTTCTTTCGTTTATCCCAGCAGTATATGTATATGTGCCCATGTATTACAAACACGACAAATCTAATTTGTAACTTGCTTCTTATTTCGTTACAGTCTGTATGAGTTTTCACTAAGTTATAGTCTATAGCCTATGTATTGACCAGGGGTATTTAATATCAAAAGGCAACTGTAAAATACAGTATTCTATTTTAGAATTTCTATAATTCATGTATACACTTATTACATGAACCACGGACACTTAAAGTCCGTGCATGAACATTCATTTAATATGTATTTCTATTGAAATCATTACCTTGACGTTGTTTCGTTTTTCCTTTCTGCCAAAACAAAAACCATCAAACATGTCAAACAAGCCATTCAAACCTTTGTTCAATTTATGTTATTATTCTATATTTTTTATAATTATAGTTACCAGTTGAAAATATTTTCCCAGTGAGTATTGACGACCATGATCGGACATGCCGGATACAATGCGAAAAACGTCCATAGCCGTTCACAAAAACACATTATTCGTGTACTACATTCAGTAGACGTGTCTTGCTCAAATCCGACAGCTTTACATAAATGAGGACCTCGGGGTGAGGAATGCACAGGGAATGTACAACCCCACCCGAAAATCATCAAAAAGCACGCATGCTATATATCACGAGTGAAATCATTCATGCCTGATCTGTGAGGTTATACTTGTGAAGGCAGTTCATTAAGACAGGACATGTTGAGTTTTCACAATTGTTAACCTCAAATGTAACGTAATCCTTTCCCGAAAAATGAACAGAAATATTAGCATATTAGAATAGGAGTCAAATATGGCTATTATTAGCCATTTTAAATCATTATTTATTGAATGAATGTCTTACAGGGGCATCTAGCCCTCAATTTATTCATTATTTATAATATTTTGAAATGATGTTTATCATTTGGACTTAGCTAGTTTATGTTTTTGTGAGCAGTCGATTTTGTTAATTCTTGAGAAAGACGTCATATATTTAGTTAAATTATGACGCGAATTGACCAGTGGCTTTTGTATCATTGTTAAAGCACACCAATCTTCAACGGCATTTTCAAGCGTAAAACAGACCGTTGACCCTATGTTTTTTTTATATCAAAATAAACATGAGAACACCTTTTTTAGAATAAGCGAATAAAAAAAATACCTCAATCCATTGGAAATTTGCGTAATTTTCGATTCAAAACGTGTCAAAATGCGAAAATGAAAAAGATATGTTTTTAATGGAAAAACGTTATAAAAATTTACAAATATTGTTGGGGTAGGGGTAACACTTTAAGTGAAAAAAGTAAGAAAAAATGTCCTGTGTGTACAAATATTCGAACCAATGTAATTATAAATAAAGGAAGTTTATCTAGGCTCGAAAAAAATCGTCAATACTCCCTAAATCATCATTTTATCGA